AGAACCAGCCCCATTTAGGAAACAATTCATTACTTATCTCACAATTAAAACGAAATTTGTAACAAAAAACGTGCGCCTGGTCTTGAAAACGCACGGTTTATCACATTTTTGCAAACATCGCCGGTGGCGATCACGCGACGAGAACCTTAATAAACGGATGAAATACATCTGTTAAAATCGTGCTGGGCGACCACTGCGCGACCTAATGCTTTAATAAGTTCTGCTCTATCGCCCCATTCTTTAACAACTTTTCTCGAGGGTTTTAACAATCTTAGCAGCTGATAAGTTCAGTAGGTCTCAATTTTGAATGTTTTAAATTAACGTGTGCACTCCGTCTCGCCGAGGCAGACCGTAAACAAGAGAGGTGGACGAGCGTGGGTGTCAAAATTAATCGAGGAATTACACCCCTGATTGGTCATGAGTGAATACAAACCACTCAGTTCAACTTTGCGTCATTCTGCTCTTACGCTGTTAAATATAGAAAATGGAAGCCTGCCGGCAATTTGCTTCGCGTCAATGGCTCGAGAATTTATAAACACGATTTCAGGAGGCAGCTGTAACGGACGGAAATAAAGTCACAAAGTGTTTCCTTTTAAATGAAATCAAGCGAATCGGAATTGACCGCAACAGATTACTCAGTTGCCCACGAGTTAAGCAGGGCTCCAGAGATCACACTTTGTTCGCCAAGTTCACGTTCTTATCAAGTCAAGGCAGCTGCAGTACGATTTGTGGGCTCGTAACAAAGGCAAAACGACGAACAATGTCGGTTCGTTTTCAGAGCGCGAGTGTAAACCTGCCGATTTGACTTATATACCGATAAACACCAAACGGAACGTACTGTTAAATACGGAAAAAAAATTCTTGCGCACACTGATATTTTAGCGGAGGTCAATATACCAGTTCTGCGTGAAAAACGTGAAAGTCAAGAACTTTCCCTACGACATGATGTCTTGGAAAGAGAACGGTTGTCCGCCGAAAGGTTAAGCAAAAGATATCTTCGTAAAATTGTACCTAAACATCAGAAACGGGAAGAATCATCCTTATCTCTGTGTCAGATCTCTCGTCCTTGTTTTAAATTCGCAGTGATGTCTCATTGTCAGAAATCTCTTCGAGTTAATAATACATAAAAATTGACTTGGATTTCCTTAAGTAATTTACCAATTGAATAATCGTAGCAAGCCGCAAATTAAAGTTCTTTGCCTTCAAGGAACCTTTTACAACCTGTAATTGTTGAATGTGCCCAATCATTTCTCTTGCGGAGCAAGCACCTTAGCTAGATAACGCTAAAATAGATTACTCCAATTAACTTCTCCCAATTTTACGGGGCAGCGTAATTGCCTAAAGCCGAACTAGAAGTTTAATTAATGCGACGACCACACATACAACTTGAAAACAAACTTAACGATAAATTCAATTTGGGACGAGATATATGATTGATGGAATTGATGTACGCTACAGGAGTACACTAGGTTTGAATGACATTAGCAACTGGCGCGAACGGAAAGCATCTCGAGGGCAAGTCACCCAGAATATTATAAATATCGTACAATTGGAGTTTATTTGGAAAAATATGAAAGGTGTAATAACGATCACCATCCCATGCAAACAATTGGATAAAAGAAAGCTTTACAAAAGTGTTAATTGATCTATGTAAATGTATCATGAAAGCTATTGGACATCTGGCAAGGGGGAATAATTTGCTGAAGTTTATCTGGCCCCCTCCAGAAGACCAACATTCGGAAACAGGCCTTGTTTGTGTTGCGATCAAAATCGTTCCGGAGAAATCTGATTTTTTGACCGTGGTTTGTGCAATCTTTTACGCATCAAAAGATTCTAAGAGAAGATATAAGTTGGCAAAGAGTAAGAAAATTGTCTGGCAAAGAAAAACTTACGAAAGAAACCAAGGTATGTAACCAGTTTTGGCTCGCGCAAATACTTGATTTCCAAATTCGTTCAATTTCTTGCGTTTAAAATTTAATCAGATTATAGCTTTCCTAAAAGCGACTGGAGTCGCCACTTTCAATTTTTATTCTGAGTGGGTCTCTCATATTCATTAAGCATACTCAAATTTCTTTTTCAATTTTGAGGTAAAGAGGTTAAGAACTTTAGGCTGAATTTTCACGGAGTGTAAAAATTTGACCCTAATACTTTTTTATCTCTAAGCGTGTGAAAAAGTACCGCAAATGGTCTAAAGACACAAAGTGAATTTCTTTAACACCTTATTGAGTATATGCGAACGATCATAAATATCCAGTTTCAAATGTGTTTCTATATATACATATATATAGGTAAATGTATATATTTATAGCATTTCCTGTCGGGGAAATGCCATTTGGAGTGCTAAGATTGTTTAAATTGATTGTCGTGATTTTCGTTTAAAAAAATTAATCCAAAACGAAAAAGTAGAAAACTCCAGCGTGTGAAAATTAGTGTGAAAAGACTCAAGGATCTAGGAAATTACGAAAGTTATTCCCGCGCAGTGACTGCGCGGGAATAAAAACGTTCAATAGAATTTCAGTGCAGGTGATACCGTATAATAGCAATTGTAAGTGTTGCTTGGAGAGCACTATAGAAAGTTTCATTCATTTGACACTTTTCAATAATGAATGTGTTAGGAAACTGCATTTGCATATCAATCAAGTGACAAACTTAAAGACCCTTCTCAGTCAAAGGAAAAATGAGTGGGCTTTACTTTTTAACAAAAGAAAAATCTTGCCCATGATGTCAAACTATTTAAGCTGATGCATCGTTTTCGTTAATTATTTCTGCACGCGCAAGGGAATTTCAGTGCGAATGGTACAAGAAAGCCTGAGAGAATAAACGCGTTAAAATTTAAAAATGTTTAGGTAAAAAGACCCAACAGTCATTTTAATGTAGAACAAAGTTTATCAACAATAATTACGTCTGACGAAGACTTAAATGCTTTGACGTTGCGAGGTTAATGTGACAATTTTAGGGGAAAGAAATAGATTTGTACTTTCTAAAATGAAAGACTGAAATTACCCGGCTTCAATCTAACCACAGCGAAGTCTAAACGTAACTTGGAGTACAACTTCGGTTTCCTATGTCTGAGCCTTAAATAGCTTACCAACATGGAGTTCGTTAAAGAATCGCAACGCCAAATTTTCCCAGGCTCTGATTTGAATGCAAAATGTGGCTTTCTAGGCAACGCGACAATTGTTTTCTCTTCGGTGAATTGTTGTTTGCCCTTTGTTTGCCCTTTGAATGAAGATCTATTATTCTCAAAACAGCGGTGGCAAAGGGTTGCATGCAAAGAAGACAAAATGTTTAATAAACTGCACGAGTTGACGGGTACCGCTCATCGAAATGACCGGTGTTTCTATCATAAGAGCAGGTACAGCACACGAGCGCAAAGAATCGAAAGCAAACACGATTCGCGTGTTGGGCAAACAACACGATTTTAGGACTGTGCTGCCAACATTAGGTTTAAACCAACCTCCCAGTGATTTGTAAAACAAAGAGATTCGACAAAAACTCGGAAAAGCTGTTGCAAGGTTTTGTGCTGTGTTGACAAACAAAGTTGCCTTTTTATTGCCATATTGATGGAATATTGTTGATGATATAGAGATTGCAATTTCAATTTTATTACAACGTAGCGAAATTCGATTGATAAAGAGTGGTTTAAAATATACCGGCAACTGAGGTTTTGGTGTGTAGATTATTTGGAAATTTTCCGCCTGAGGTTAAATAAAGATTAATTCTTCATTGAGTATATTTTAATGCAGAGTCAATTTCGCGCCGCAAAATCCTGACAAGAATTAATGGAACAAGTCAACTTCCAGAAAGGAAATCTTTCAAAATGTAAGCTTCTTTTTGTGAACGTAACAGCGCTTGGTTTCGTTGACTTAAGGTAAATTAAGGTAAAAACGATCGACCACAAACGCGATTTTAAAGGCATGCGCTGAAACTTCGTAGATTTAAATAACCTATGCTTAACAAACATAAATCTCGTTTATTTGGGGAAATCAGTGCTCTACAAGGAAAAAAGGAGAGGGAAAAATTAATAACAATTGCAGGAAAGTGTCAAAATTAAAGGCTTGTTCTACCAGTAGGCTCACGCGACATTTTCTACTCCCCATGCATAGTCGACCACGGAACTAAATATAAAGCTATATGCATGCTGTGACTTACGAAGATACTTAGTAACATTGTTTTAAACGCGGGAAACGATCATTGAAGTAGTTTCTGCCGAAATATTGCGCAAATATGGATCTAACATCCCAGAACTGGCCACAACGAGAGCAATTCTTCGATATTGTTTATCACTGGCACCGAATTTTGTTTGTCTAAAATTCACTATAGCATGTTTTGAGAGTCGGTGTATTCTACGCTGAACAGAGAAGATTCAGTTTGTTTTAAGTAATGTTACACGAAACTATTCTACATCGCAGTTAGGGGTACCACATGCAGCAAGAAAGAAAACGCTGTGTCGACATTTCTGTCTTTCGGAGCAATAGCTAAGGTTACTTTTTGGAAGTTAGGCTGGCGGCTGTATTTCAATCGAATCAGTAGATGATGATATAGTGTTTTTCCAAATTTGGCAATCGCCAACTATAAATTTTTCATCTGTACATCAGGTCGCATTCCGAAGTCCTTGGAATGCATTATGTTCGCAATTATATGCGAGAAATTTCAAAACCTTTACATTCCACTGAAATATTTACCGAGGTCTTCTTAGTCTACAACGAGTATAAAGTCAGCTTTTCAATTTGCTTCTTTGTCAGCAGCTTTCGGTTTTTCTGACGTTTAAGACGTTTAATTGATTGACATATAATAGCGCCATGCATATAGGGAATCTAAAGCACCTGGTTAAAAGGAAAAGTAAAATGTTAGGATGAGTATTTCGAGCTAATATTCTACGGTTGGTTTCCACGAACGTGCATTGCATCTAAGGAAAAGCACAGAGCTTCAAAATTTTTTTATCTTTGTCGATTAAACGCTTTCCTTCCTTGTTCATTCAGGTATGAATCAACTACACAATGAACATCAGCCGGGGGAGTAATGCGTTTGTCATCACGGTTCTTCTGTTGCTACTTCTAGTCCAAGTCGGTAAGTTTCAAACTTTTGCTAGGGCGTACGTACTTCAGCATTGATGCAGTGAACAGGTTCCGAAAAGAGGATCTTCCTCTAGACTTTGGTACGTTTCATCTAATTCATACGGCTAGAATTGAAAGAGATACGAAAGGATATATAGCCGTCGATCCTCACCAGAGAACACCAGTTGGACTAGCTTCTGTGCTATTTTTCTTTTTTTGTGGGAGAGACATGATTGTCAAACGGCCACCTGCGATCGGGTTCTACTGTGGAGCCCTGTCCAGCTGGGGCATTGAGTTGTATTCTTGGGCAAGAAAACAGTCGCACACTAAGTGGCAAGTTTGATAAAATTCCTGGATGTTCACTTTGATAATGTAATAAGGCTCCAAATTGCTGAAACTGAGATTAGCTCCGATAGTGAGACTCCAAATCCCTTCATGCCAATGAAATTGGGATAATACCTTCGATTGTAATGGGTGCAGTGAACTCGTAAAACTTATCCTACTTGTACCATTTACCAACAGCCATTAGCTTCAGGCCAGCGATTCTGGGTGAGCCTGAAGACGTGACAGTAACACCAAGCACAACAAGGCCACAAGCGTTCACAATCCTCTGCATCAAGTCTGTAGGTTCGTCAGTGGCTTGGTTTTTCAAGGGAAGACCAGTAGACATCCGTAATCAGGACTTCAGGGTAACAAGTGACGGGTCTCTTCATGTAAAGAATGCAGTCAAAGAGAGAGATGAAGGGTCCTATTACTGCCTGGTGTCCAGCGGAAATAGAGCGGTTCGTAGCAGAACAGCTACCGTTAAATTTGCGTGTAAGTACTTCAGGATTTACTCTCAAAGCACCGCCTAACCACTCTGAGAAGGCCAAACTCAGGATATTAAACTTATCGAACAACTCTTTCATGATATGCGTGGGTTTCACCGTTTGGCACGCCTCTGTACCAAGTCCGCGTACTTTATATTTCAAAGCGAATATTTATGTTAAGGAGTGTGGGGGTACTTTAATGTAATGAAGTTCATTGCATCGTGGAAATTATAGCCTAAATGCTGTACCAACGAGCATTCTGAACACGGCACTACTTACCAGTCAGTGTATGCATGGATGAGACCTTATCTCATCCATGATAAAACCTCTACTCTAGGGACACCAATGTTCAAAGAAAGGACACAAACTTTGGTCCCGCCTAATAAGATGCTCTTGTAATATTTGTAACTGTGACCGTGATTGAAGGGAAGTGTGTCTCTGTGGAACACTTTCCTTCGTGCCAAGGGTCATCTCTCGATGAAGGTTTTACTGTATTTAGTGTGGACGATGAAATAAGAGTCATAGCTCCATGCTAAATTCCATGCTGCTCCTCTCCCACTTCCTGATAGTTGATGCAACCAATCTCCTTCCTTATCAGATCTTGATTCATTCACTACCCGCGACAAGATGGTCTCCATGGAAGAAGGGGACTTCCTCTCCATAAAGTGTATGGCTCCTGACTCTTTTCCACATCGTACCGTCCAGTGGTCAAAGGAGATAAATGGGAAAAAACAGCCAGTGAGATCGTCATCGCACCTGACAATCAGCGAAACCAAGGACTTGCATTTTGCATTTTTGAAAAGATCAGATTCTGGCGTCTATATCTGCACTGTAACAAACCTCTTCATACTAAACAGTGTGGAGAGACAAGTTTCTCTGTTCGTAACACCAGGTAAGAACATTAAAGAAGGAAACATTTTCTTTGATATTTCACCTTTCACAGTCCTAGGAAAACAATTTGTAGGGCTCTCTTTTTTCAATTGAAACCATTGGGTATCACTTACAATCTAAGACAATCTGACCGACATGGCAAAATAGTTTATCCCCCAATTATTTGCAAGTGTCAGGTTCTACACGATTAACCATCTTAAAAGGGCTGCTCGAGTTGCGTCTTGTATAGTGAGAAGATTTCGTTAAAAATCACTATCGTTGTAATGCCTTTTTCCTTCATAACAGCAACAAATCAGCTTAACAAGCCACCTAGAGTTGCCGACGACTTTAGCAGCCCAAAGATAGCCTTGAAAGGAGAGAAATTTGTCTTGGAGTGCATTGTTTACGGAAAGTAAGTGCAGTTAGAACATAAATCTTTACAGCATAAAATGAAAGCCTTAGTCATAGAACCTTTCACAATTGAAGAAGTGGCAACAGAAGAAATAGGTAGGGGGGCAACAGCAGAGGTATACTACGCAGTGGCAGCTATGGAAACAGATAAATAGGTAACAGTGCCACCTTCGGTAACATTAGTTGTAACAGAAGCGGTAGACAAAGAGTCGGTAGTATCAGAACTATTTGCCGGATTACTAGAAGTAGTAGCAACAGTGGCAGTGACAACAATAGAAGCGGTGGTAGTACAAAAAAACGCATTTCTTGTAACAGCAGTGGTACTTGCAGAAACAGTAAGAGAACCTTAGATATAGCGGTATGATAGGTTAATAAGTAGTGGACGAATAAGTTGTGGTTTAGTTCATAAATTGCCGTAAACGGGTTGGCAAGGTCTCGCCGGGTTTCAGGCAACGTGACGTTGCAAAAATAGTTTACAGTCTCTTCAGTTGTTCATCGATAAAGCTCAACATTGTCAATCTTTCCCTCAGACCAGTTCCGAAAATCGTCATGAAGAAAAAAGGGATTCACACTGCACTTGGGAATACGACAGGAAACGTTAACAGACTAGTGATCAACAGTTTTGGTCGTGACGACGCTGGGAAGTATAGATGCAGAGCCAGCGATAAGGCAGGACAGTCAGACACCAAAACAACCGTGATAAAGATGGAAGGTATAACTATATCACAACATACAGTTGCAATGTGCTGCGTATTGTTTAGTGTGCTGGAACTTCTTATATTCTGGTGTCGAAGTAAATTTACAAAACTAGATTTTCCAGGTGAATAAAGGGGTAAGTTTCTAAAGAAACTGTGGTGCCGCGTCAGTGGGAGAGTTTAAAAGGGTAATTTAGCATTATCAACTGAGTTGATATCGTAAATTGGCCACCGTAGAGAGTTTTAAAGGTGACATTTGGAGCCTTAGCCCTCGCTCTCACGAAGGGCTAACGCTCGAAACGATAGCTTTAAAACTCTTTACCGTGGCCAATTCACGTCATCAACTCATTTGATAAAAACTAAATTACACTCGATTTTCCAGGTTAGAGTAATTCAATTTCTTTTCCTCGTGGGAGTTTAAGGTGTTCTCCCTTCACCATGGAAACGAGTTCACGAACTAAAAATAAAACTTCCCATTTACGACATCAACTTTTAAACAACCTTGACCAGTGACATACGAGGGTAAGAGTAATGAGCACAAAACTAAATGAAAAATGTAAGCCTACGATGGACTTACATGCCATCCCAAGGCGGTCCAAGACGGCAACGCATCATGTCGCCTACACTAGCCCGGGAATAATTAATCATCAGCAGCATCAATGATGTACTCCTCCAAATTCAAGGACCGAAACGTGCCTTAAACATTAAAAATCCGATAGAGAACGAAAATTTGCAATTTTGCTTCTTTTGCAGCTAAACCAGAGTGGATAATAAAGCCAAAAGACATTACATCAGTCTCTAACAGCACAATCACTCTGCCCTGTATTGCTTTTGGTATACCGGGCATAAGATACACATGGTATCGAAACGGCAAGCTGATTGTACCGAAAAACAGGCATGAATTTTCACTGGGAAATTTGACTATCAAAGACTTGAGGCCTCACGATAATGGGATATATCAGTGTTTCGTCGACAACAAACATGGCCAACTACATGCTGATATCAAGCTGACTGTATCAGGTAATAACATATATATTATATCGTCGATGAATCAAAGAATACATCAACGTTCAGTTATTTGATTGGACTCTCATTTCACAGTGCCTCCCCATCCCTGAGTAAACTGCCAAGTTCACAAGAATTATCGTGGAAACTTTATGAATAGCTAAGGAGGGGGGGGGGGATGGGAAGGGGAAAGCTAGGGAAGGGTGGTACCAGTCCACGAAAGAAAGCAATACTTCTAGTCGCTTCAAAAGCCGAGATTGTTCCAACAGTAATGACCCTTAGAGTTTACCTTTGCGTCACCATTTTGAGTCACTTATTATTAAACAGTATTCTTTCTACCAAATTAGCAATTCCCGCCGGCTTTGGCCTGGGGAGTAAAGCTCCACAGCTGACCCAAAGTGCCCTCATGCATTCAAGTGTGGAAATAATATGTAACCCAACTGGTGAACCTAAGCCCGTCGTACGCTGGCGATTTGGCGCCGCTTATCTACAAAGCAAAGGAAGGTTTCATATTTCGTCAAACGGAAACTTAAGGATCACTAACGTTACCAAATCTGATTCTGGGGAGTACATATGCGAAGCTTCCAACACACTGGGTAAAGCCTCCAAAACGGGATTCGTCAATGTTGTCGGTATGCTATAGCTTCACTTTGCAATCTGTGGCAATCTTCCCCATCCTAAGTCAGCCTTGATCAACTAACTGATATTTGAATATTTCCTTTTATTTGATGACAATTTTCAACGAATCAAAAAAATCAAATGAAAAAGTTTTGACCTAGCGAAAGGATCCTACTTGGCCAGCGAAATTTAGTGGGAAAGTTGGCACAAAATTTTGAAGGTTACCTACTGAGGAGCGTTAGTCTCCTCAAACACTAGGAATTCCGATTTAAGAGTGTGGAGGCAACACTCTAAATTAGCCTGAATCCCTTCGTACTCGTGACATCAATATTTGAGCAAATCTCCTTTCCATCCTAGAATACATCGTCGAAACTAAAAACATGGATGAAACGTTGACGGCTGTCCTTGGGAAAGACATCAGATTTATGTGCGGTGTTAGATCAGTTGGCAAAATAGAGGTTACCTTCAAGTGGTTAAAATTTTTTACCCATGAAATTGTGTCGAGTTCGCGTGTGAGAAAAACAAGAACAGATATCAGGAACAGTATGTCATCAACAAGTGATCAGAGAGGATACTTGAAGATCACTAAAGTTCGATACGGCGATGCAGGGCTTTACTCCTGCGAAATAAGGGGCAATAACAATAAACTGATCGCCCGCAAGAAGGTCTTCTTGAAAGTCAAAGGTAAATAGAGACGTTTCTGTAGATTTACACTGTAATTGTAGTTTTCAACAGAAACAGTGGCACACGAACCGCAAGTGTGTGGGTCTAAGTTTTTTCGAAACAACTTGTCAACGGGAAGGAAAACGTGGTAAAAATGTGTTCATAATCAGTGTGATGAAATATTCAATGATCCGTTTCCCTCCCTTCTCTGGTCAGTAACCAAATATGTCTGTATTTTAAGGTCCTCCTAATCCACCGACAGATGTGACCATCAGTCAAGGACACGCTGAAGGCGAACACGTCAACGTCACATGGATCCTCGGAAAAGCGAACGGCAGTCCAATAAAGAAAGTGATAATCGAGCACACGACACAATTTGCTCCTACGACATGGAATGTCATTTCTAATGAATCTGAACCTCAGAAAGGATGGGTACAGATTGCATTGTCTCCACATGTAAGATATACTTTCCGAGTCGTTGCTGTCAACGACGTCGGTAAAAGCAACGCCAGCGCTCCGTCCAGTAGCTTCCAGGCACCATCAGCAGGTGGGTTGACGCTCCTAGCTTTTTTTTCAATGTAAGGATGATCACGTCACGTGAGAATTATGGTCACCCTGTGTTTGAAGCGCAGGACTCCAGATGGAGAAGTCCGGATTCCAGTCCTGGTCTGGTAATTCAGGCCACTTTCGATGTAAGCAAAGGGTCTGTTTCGACCGCACGGTTGAAGGCAGTTTTGACGTGCAAGGCTTTTGATAAAAAAAAAATGACTTTTCAATCTCGTTGAAACATATTATTAACTCTTTTTCATAAGAATGGTATTGCACTTGACCTTATTTTGAGAGTGAGGGATTTTCGACTCAGAAATAATCTGCTGTGTTGTGTTCTTGGGCAAGGCAGCGGAACTAACGTGTAGTCTAGATATGTAATCATTAATATAAAACATCTACACTGCTCATGACAATCACATCTGGTGATCAACGCAAAACAATAAGTACTCCTATTCCGAAGGCCTCTGTTTTATAACTTTGGACGTTCTACTCGTCATTCACAGCACCTACAAAGTATCCTCTTGACGTGAAGGGTGAGGGGATTGACGCATCTACCCTAAAGATTACGTGGCAACCCATTCCACCCATACACCACAATGGACCAGGTTTCTACTATATTGTTTATCACAAGCGAACGGACCGCAAAGGGCAGCCGACAAGAGATGAGGTCAGAAATGGCTCCACCTTCTTCATCACTGGCACTGATTACTACGTGAGGTACACGATCCAAATACAAGCAGCAAACAGCATTGGCTTTGGACCTAAAAGTCCGGATGTCATTGCTTTTTCTGGGGAACAAGGTGCAGTCATTTTACAGCATAATTGTCTGAAGTATTTGTGACGTTGTCTAAACACCGTTATACAAATGCCGTAACAAATGTCACCACCTTTAGACTTTTTTGTTATCAGTCGACTGAACAGTCGTACGGTAACACGGAATCTATTTGTTTTATATTAAAAAAAGAGAACGTTTCTAATGGTGGCGTCATCTACGCGTCTGTCTTCCATCAGATCATATGTAAGAACCAATCTAAATGAGTGTTGATTAACCAATCAGATACTAAATCATACTGAATTTCTGATGCATTTTATTTCGATGCTACAGTGCCGGTGGGAGCCCCCAGGGATCTTGATGTCCGTATTACATCTCCAAATTCAGCTTATGCGACATGGACGGGTGTCCCTGATAAGAGAGAGACAGCCCGTGGCAAATTGTTAGGGTACAAGGTAAGTACATTTATCCAATTTTTTTTTTCATTTTAAATTGATTTTATGTTCTACTTGTCTTTTTCAATTCATTTTGTTTTGTTTGTCGTGGCAAGCTTAAGCAAACAAATGAAAAGATGAAACTATTTTTTGGTAAATGTAGCACATTTGTCATGTGTTGCTACCTTTCTGGTGACATATAACTTCTTCGGTGATAAAACTGTTGCCAAATGTTAAAACGCGTCAGCTAACAATGGTCTCCTGTTCACAACAAATGTATGCTAGCCAACACCAAGGTTACAATGCTGGCACCGAGTTGTCGTAGAGTTACGTGTTCACTTTATCACCCAAGCAACATGTCCTTTATCATGCTGTTGATGGTGTTTTCATCCGATATTTATTCTGGTCATGCGTAACATCTAGCATCGAATGGCATAGTAACGATTTGAATATATGTCGGAACTTAATCGAAATTTTGTTTTACTGACTGACTAAGAACAGACTCCTCCCAATAGATTTCAACAACTATCGATACCACACAAACGACCTACACAAGACATGCACGATACAAACGAACCGAACAGAACGACCTAATCAAGACCGACTTACACCATTCGAGCCTTGCAGCCAATAGCATCTTACCAAAACTTACTATCAGCTATCACAAACTAGGTTTATAATACTCGATTTAGAAACAACTCCTGAGAAGGTTATAACAATGCTTCACGATAAACTTTGACTTAAAAACCATCCCTGTATTTAGATAAAAATCTGCACCAAATCAAGAAACAGTTATTCAAGGAATAAATGCAAGTGCAAATGACTTTTATTGGCAATTTGGTACCCAATTTTTTTCCTTTTCATTTCAGGTGTATTTCTGGAAAGCGCCGAGCGGTCAGACTCCCTACCAAGCTGAGGTCGAGTCAACTAGTGAAACGTCTGTCAGTTTACATCTGCAGCCTTACACATCATACAGATTTCAAGTTGTTGCTTACAACAGAATGGGTGATGGACCAGCAAGTAATGTCATAGGTCCTTTAACAACACCTGAATCAAGTAAGTCCTTGGTATTGATCATCTCAAGCTAAAGCATACGCTGATAACTTACTACATCAAAGTAAAGAAAGTAATTCCAGATAGAACAAGCTAGAATATGAAAACAGTTTCAAATGCCACCAAGAACCCGGAGATATCTTAATTCTGAGTTTTTAGTCCACTTATTTCTTTGTTCTGCTTTGGTTTTTTTTTTTTTTTTTTTTTTTTTTTTTTCAATAATTTTTCACCCACTGAATTAAAGTTGTATATTCACACTTGCACAGAATTAAATGGCACCAATAATTATACTGGATTATGCAGCCAGGAAAATGGACAAAGGTTTCTTTGTCCAGAAAGTTGTTAGTACACATTAATCCCTTTCCTTTGTTTACAAATGACTGTTTATCACCTTGATTCTTAATTCTTGATTCTCTGGTCTCGTACATCGTCCTTGCAAAGACGAGAATTGTTATTTCAGGCTTTTCCTGTATTCAGGAAAGGTACAATTTGCCATTTCAATAGCAGAGTTTAATTTTCATTTAGCACAATAGCTTTTAGAGTCTGCACACTTGTTGCGTCTAGAAGTATGCATGCATCTATTTACTAAACATGCCTAGTGAGCTAAATAAATTCTGGTCTTTTTTTTCATTGGCATCTCAGTTCTTGTATGAATCTCTGAGTTACCATGATTTTAACTTTTAAACACTTAAACTCATACCTTTTAAATCTAATGTTGAACAAGGTTGGATCAAAATGATAAAACTATTTACGTGAACTTGTTTACTTACTTACTACAAGTAGTGTGTGGCAACACCTTACGTTGTTTTTATGTTGTTTCCAGTACCAGATTCACCGCGAGGGCTGTCCCTCAACATCCACAACCAAAGCTTCATAATACTTCAGTGGAGCCCACCTGAAAGAGCTAATGGCATCATCTCTGACTACCGGGTGACGATAGAGAAAGTACCAGTAACAGAAATGACAATGAGCGGAAAGACAAACAACAGTAATCCACGAATGAGACTCCCCCTGCTCAACCTGCAGGCGAGGTACAGATTCTCAGTTCTGGCAATCAACAGAATCGGGGCAGGTCCACCGCTGGTTGTAGAATTTGATCTCACAACAGGTTAGTAATATCTTTGACCAATAAATGACCAGACAAACCAATTCTTATCTTTAACTAAAAAAAATCCAATGTTGAAAATACCATTTGTTTCTAAAAAGGCACATTAACCAAATATACAGAGTACCAGTTAGAAGGTCCAACACCAAGGATCTTCGGCATTTGGGGGTTTTCCAGGGTCACAGGTTTCCTGCCTCCCCCCCCTCCTCTTCCACCCCCAACCCCCCGTCCTTAAAGTATAAAATGAAAGTAAAGCTTGTGAAGTAATTTACCATTAATTTCTTTCCTGATTTCTTAAGGGTAGTTATTACTGAACATTGCAAATGCTACGCCACGTCGACACTCATTAGTACATCAATCCTGGCAAAAAAAACATATCACTTTGGTAAAAAGTTTCAGAACTCCAACATTTTGTCGCAGAATGCCCTTTCAAAAACATTTAAGCATTGTTAGAATGAGAATTATTACCTGGCATGTGTATATAACAGAAGTAGCATATTTCTATATCACAACTTTTTTTCCTTTCAGCACCTAAAATATCTCCCCAAAATGTGACAGCAAATTTTGACAACCAAAACAACGAGGTAGTTTTGAACTGGAGAAGTTCCCTGCAAGACATAGAAGGATTCCGGGTAAGCAAAGCACAAGCATAAATGTATTAACCCTTTAACCAGCATTAGCGACCAAAACAGATTTTCTCCTTACGGTACCAATACAAAATCACGAAAATAAGTAATGAGAATAAAGAAAAATATCAACTAGGGGGTATTAGATGATCTAATACCAAATTCTTTAAATTAACATCATAATAATTGAATGGAGCACAGTAAGGAGACGTACTAATGAGTTCCTATTAAGATCTTGGCAGAGAAAGTGTAAATCTAATACTTTAAAAGAAAAATTCTTTGAGGAGTAAGGTTGCATGTCGATCAGCCTCAATCATGGTTTCTGTCGATATTTCCCTCAGATTTTTTACTGGAGTTCTCTAAGGGATATACATACTGTCGACGTTGCAAAAGAAAGAAGAAGAAAAGAAATCGCTTTTGGTCTGGAGAAAGGACACATCTATCATTTTCAGTTGGCAGCTTTTAAAATAGTACATGGTGGACACTACATACTGGGTCCGAGATCACAGGAGGTCACAGCAGGAAAAAGTAAGAAATGAAAACCAACAGATCGTGTTATTTGGTCTGAAGAGATGATAAAATGATAACTCACGTTTCCGACAAAACAGAAGTCTCATATAATGTGTACAACGGTAGCTATGGGTTGAAACAAAAGTGAGCTACTCACTGTTCCGTTCCTCGAAGTAACCGAAAATCCCTATACGAAAACGCATTGCAGAACCCAGATCCCATCGAAACGCCTGACTGAAAACGTAAAATGCAGGAAATGTTTTGGAAGTGTGATTAAATTTTTCTTTCTTATTTCATTCGAGTTTGTCTCAATTGTGTTTGTAATGGTTGGTGTGAAAGGCTATTTAGACAAACAAGTCATGAGGGAAGAGAAAATTTTATTTTTATGGTCAATGAGTTTCCCTATCATCGTAATTGATATTGTCAATTGGCCACCATAGAGAATTTCTAAAGCTCAACTGATTGATTGATTGACTGAGGAACTGACTGACTGACTGATCGCTGACTGATTGACTGACTGACAAACTGACCAACTGACTTATGAACTGACTGTCTGACTGACAGACACTGAGACAAACTAAGCGACTTATACAACCGACCGACTGACGGGCTTAATTACTCACTTGGTGGATGCTTAAATTTTTCGCAGCAAACAGACTGGATTCCATAGCGACTTAAAATAAAAATATAATTTCCTTCCTTGCAGAAAATCTAAAGGCAAGAAGGACAAAGTCGACGGGAAGTTTCACTGATAGTCCAGGGACTTTACTTCTGTGTTCACAGTTGCTATTCATCATTAGCTTTCATTGGTTACAAGCCAGATAGCAGTCATCGAGATTCAGAGTTGCTAAAAAAGGATTGCTGCGTCAATCTCTTCGGGAGAAACTACCATAAAACCCCACGAATAAGACGAGATGTTCATTTAATGAGAGCAAGTGATTACTTAGTTCTACAAACTTCAGATAGAAAGTTTAACTCGTCTCTTGAACAGACTTAGACGGAATAACTGGTTTTGAGCCCTGAGCTTTGTTAATGTGAACAATGTTTCAGAGTCAGGGAACAATATTATTTCAAATCAAGGAAGGAGGACAGAGAATTCGTACCACGTTTTCCTGAAAAACTGAACTTCGGTTTTCAGTTTTTTTGGAAAGCGCCAACTAGAACAACTTCGTAAATTAACCACGAGAAGGACTTCCAGTGCAGTGACGTTTACCACGTAGAACTAAATATTTGAATATTTATTTTAAATTACGTTGATTCTGAATGAATGCCATATCGACATGATACAGTAAGATGCTGATTAATTTAAATGTTCTTCATCTGACAAAGCTCCTTTCCAATGTGAATCCTAAATTTCTATCGTCCTAATGAATTTATTACCATCCCACGTGCACCCTGACACCCGTTTACCAGAGCGCAGAATTTCATTTCAGTTACCAAGCTATAGGTAAATATTTAAAACATTCGGGAAGTGTTTATGGGACGGCATGTTCGTTTCTAAGCTCTCTATCTCTTTCTGCCTTTTTCTAAGAGAGGAAGTGGATAGAAAAGCGACACTAGAACGAGATGGGAAGAAAACTAAAGATGTGCCAAATATTATTCGATGAATAACAGTGATTTGGTAACTGGACGAGGATTGTCGTGAATAAACCAATGGAAAAAGGGCGAAATATTGCGCTTTAACAAGCAGGCACGTGTAAGGAAGATGTCTCAAATTTCCATCATTTCTGGCCTCCTAAAAATTCACATCATCTCGGGATTGCGCTAAATTTAGAGTTTATTCAGGGGTCTACTCACTAATCATCATTAATACGTGACTAATGAACTCACCTAAGAAATAAAAGTTCAAAAAATATTGGCGCACTTTCAAGGGTTTTACCTAAAGATACTAATGAGAACCATTCATGATCTATATATTCCGGTATAGTGTTAATTCAAATCCACTTGTTTGCTAATAATCTAAGGTTCAGTAGGAATGAACCGCACAAATTGTCATAGGATGTAATATAAGAATTAATCTGTGATAGTTTTATGAAAACATTTAAGAAATAACAATTAATTGATGTGTGCTTTAGCACACGGTTTGTTTAAAAAGAAACTTTTGAATGATGATATAGCCCGGTGCGATGTTTGGGTTTTAGCCAAATAATTTTGTTTTATATTAAATGAAAGTGTACAACGTATATCGTTTAAAACATTAAATGAATAAGCAGCTAGTTATTGCTAAGTTCTTGTTATCGGCTAGATTTTTAACTGATTAAGCCTGAGATGAACATAGATAAAGTCGAATGGCGGTCAAACGTCTGCGCACGTGCGAGTCTTGTAAAGGCTGGGTTGCATTCATCCAGTTTGTGTTATAGACAACCTAATCGGAAAACCATGATTAAATAAGCTTTGAGTACAAATAGTTTTCGGTTTTTCTTCTCTCTACATTTTTTTCCTTCTATGAATTTTCATAACGTATTATCTCGCACATTTGGCTTGACAGGGGCTGTTTAAGTGTTCCCTTAAAATTCTGCCCAAAACTTTTGAGGTGTGTCTCAGTTTGCTAGCTGAGGCAGATAAAGAAAATTCCCCATAAAACATTTAGACATACCACGTCTTGTATAAAGGTAAAAACTTAAGCAATCGACTAGAAACCTAACATTTACCCAGAGGATTGTGAGCTCGAGATCTCTATCGCATGATGGCCGAGGAGGGCGAAGCACGAATCGACTATCGCGCATAGAAATCGAGAGCGAACAACTAGTGTAATTGGAAGCAAAAATTTTCATTCCACGTTCTGAAAACACACCGTGCCTGGAACTTACTTCTTTTTTTTAAGGAAATACTTCGTCTTAAATCGATCAGCCTTCATCAGTCCCTGAACATTCAGTTCCATTCGGCTGATGAGACGGAATGTTCACATATGAGCGACGATCTGGTTTTCTTCAAATCGATCAACCTTCATCAGTCCCTTTAAGTAAGTGGTTACGGTTTCGTATATCTTTGGAAGCTCAGGCCACTCGTCTTTTTAAGAGGACGACTTCTCACCTGGATCTTTACAGCCTCCTGTACCTTCATCTCGATGGTGTTGTCCTCCGTTTGTATGACTTCCGCAAAGTTCGGAGTGAACATTCAGTTCCGTCAGGCTAATAGGACATGATACTCGTACATGACCGACGATGTTCTCGTCTGGTTTTCTTCCAACCTGTCCAAGCTCTGATGCATCGAGCCCGAGATGTTCCGCCCACATAATGACTTAGCCCGCCCTTAACACAGACAGATGCCAGAATTTCATTTTGAGCGATCGTGTGATATTATTTACATTCGTTCTGATAGGTTGTTGTGATATTTTGCTTCCACGACAGTTAATCCAACATTTCCCGCGCATTATGAGTGAACACGATAACTATTAACTATTTATCTGAGACAAATCAAAAATATGTTTACAATTTTTTTCATTTTTATCATACTAAAAGTTCTCTATTTCATCAGATGTAATTTGAATTGATAGCAATAAACATACAAAACTATGGATAATATAAATGTGCTTTGGTAACAAATACAGATAAATATAATTCTATACACCTCTCTTATTTCCAAAAGTACATCCACAGATAATATAAGACCCTTACAATAGTAACAAATTCGAGTATGGGAACTGATCTACCTGTATCTCAATTGCAAAAGTTTTGAAACATTCTGTTTAAAATAGCACCATGTTTCGCAGCTATATCAACGAGATAAAAAAACTATATGTACATTGCTAGTATGGTCAACAGTGTCATTCGTTGTCTATTGCGCCACTTCGGTGTCAAACAATACAGTTTTTGATCTCTCTATTCGTATCATGGCCGGTTTTTCGCTCGTTCAACGAGGGAAAAATTTGAAAATACCTGGCACATGAAAGTGATTTCTTAACCACGGCAACTGAAGAAGTGTCCTTCTGATTCCCAAATTTTTCACTCTGGTTTGCATTGATTGAATGTGTTGAGCGGAAATTGTTTCATTGTCCCAATTTATGTCACTTTCTCAGTATTTAAGAGCAGCTGCCTCTTCCATTTCTGTTTGAAACCGTTAAGCTGCGTTTAATTTTGTGGCATTTTAATTCCTACCCTTTAGCTTTCATAACAGGTAGAGCTCCGCCATGAATGTCAGCCCAGAGCTTGCAGATCAGACTCATAGCTTTCTCTTTTTCCTCGTAAGTCTGAGCAACAATTTTCCAGTAAATATCGCGTTCATCTGGATCTGGCAAGTGATGTGTAATGACACACAACTCACCCATACTCGCTGAATCAAAGCCATCTGGTGCATCATCGTCTTGAGGTCGCGTCGGCGAGAAAACCATTGTAAAGTCGCACGAGTTGAAGTCACCGAATTCAACACGTGACAGTGACTGGATGTCACGCAAGTCTTGCACATTGTATTGCGGGTTCTCGGGAAGTCCCGTGGCGAATAACGGCAGCGGGTAGTTAACATGATCTTCGATGCAAAGGCATAGAGACTTATCCATAATAACGAGAGTGCGGGGTTCTTCGCGAGCCGTTTCTGTCTCGTGGAAGACCAAGAGATACACCAAAATGACCACATGGTTGAGTTCGAGGCAATGAACTGACTGGCGGCTGAACTCAGCGATGGCATCCTTCAGAATATCCAACGTGTCATCGCTCGGATACACGAAGCGCACACCACCGTTCGTGTGTTGATAATCTGCTCTCGGAAAATCGCTCGGATCATTATCAGCAGTTGACTGCGAGTCGTAGATGCTCGTCGGCATCGTGTCAGATCTCGACGCAGGCGATGTATCACCACGATGTATTGACGACAAAATCGCGCCTAGTCTCTCTAGAAAAGTACTCGTCAATTTGAAATCTCGTGTAACTAAAGTAAACGTGTCCTTCCGCGACTCTGTTTCGATTCTTAATGTTTGATCAAACAAACCCACGCAAACCTGCCTGAGTTGGGTGATCGGGATGAAATTAAAACAGATTGTCGGTTTAACATCACTGAAGTCGGTATCTTCGGAAATCTTCAACCTGATTCCTTTTTGTTTGTTGATGGAGATTTTGTGTTCTTTATCCGCCAAAATGTACAAATACAAATTGCTTAACAATATGCAAACTTTGAATTCAAGCGACGGAAACAGATACGGCGTGCAGCCAGTCCATAAAACATGGAGAAGTGTTTCACTTTCGTTTTCCTCTTTCTGCGAAATCCATTTATGAAAAAAACCGTCCAAGATTTTTCTATCGAGGGCGACTAAGCTCTCCAAGCTATTCAACATGTTTGGTTTGAAAATTGGTAAAAAATCCGACCCCACCCTCCGATGGGTCTTTTTAAATTTCGACTCCACTGGGGTACCTACGGGTGTTTGTACACCATTCGGAGAAGTGGGCTCAAGGAGCCCTTTTCCACCCTTTTTCTCTGGAAGGACTGGGAAAGACTTTGGCTTTGAGTGCGTGATTTTAAGATCGGCTTGAAAGTTGTCCTTCCATACCTGTGACAGCGACCGTTGAAGCTGCGTGCGTTCATCGGCGGCTCGGAAAATTAAGTGCCACGAATGTTGTTCGCCCGTAGACTGTGCCGCCGATTCATCACAGTCGAAGATCAGCGAGAGCCCAAACTCGCCGAAAAATTCGCAAACATTACCCTTAAGTTCAAACACTTCAAGCCCGACGATCTTACTGATCCATTGTGCCTTAGTAACCACCCACTGAGGGGTTGACGGCGGCGCCCGCACGAACGAGGGCAGCGGCCAATGCACATGATCCTCGTCGCATAGATAGATCTCCGAGTTTGTCACGATCAAGCTTCGGAGCATCTTCGTGAGATCTACGTTTTCCTGCACATTCAGCGTGGCACAGTCGGGAATTTCTCGGACGATAGAGTACATTAGCAAATGCTGGTTTTCAGCGGCGGAAGAAGCCTTGCCGAATTTTGCAAGTTCTAGTTTTAATTTGTCAATTTTGTCCTCGGTCGGAAAAGTGAGTTTTGGAAGACTCTCGGATGAAAATTGTCTCCTAAACGGAGGAACATCAGAATGCTCCTCATTCAAGGGCTCCCCGAGCACATCTCTCAATGTTCCTAAAAATTTGTCCGTTTTCTCGGCGTCGCGAGTGATAACGGTAAATGTGCCTCGAGGCCCATCGAGTTTTACTTCCAGTCTGAAGCCTTGATCGTACAAACCGAAGACCACTTCATTTAGTTCCCGCACTGGGAAGCTATAGAAACAATGCAAGACATCTCGTAAATCACTATAGCTTGCTAACGTGTGGATACGCTCAGGTGATTCTAAGTGTGACGAATGGAACAAATAAATGTTGACATTTGTCATTAGAAGGCAAATAGGAAGCTCGTGGTCTGGGTACACATACGGGAGACAGCCAGACCACAAAATCAGACGGGCCATCTCAGGGGAGGGCCCAGAGCGATCATGCCTTAAACACCCCACGTCTATGAACTCGGCGTGGAGGGTCTGGTAAATGCTTTGAACCCTCTGTATACGGTGGGTGTCCAAAGAATTTGCTTCTGTGTAATTTACAGATTGTTTCTTGTCAGGTTCTTGGAGGAAATCATCGAAATATTTGTGCAGAAGATCTTGATGTACTCCTAATGGGTTGGGCCATTCTATGATGTTCGCCGGGAAGATTTCTGCAAGGGGCTCTTGGGTGAGAACGTTTGGAATGGCATCCTTTGAGGACCTAAGAACATAACATAACGTAACATAACATATCGTCAAATAACATAACGTAACTTAAGTAACGTAACACAACACAACATAACATAAAATAACATGTTCCATTCAAGATACAATGGCAAAAAAATCTTGAAAAGGAAGAAACAGAGGTTGGCCCCATGATTTTTCACCTCAAAAAGAAACGGATTAGAATTAAAAACATTTCTCTCTCTATTTATCTACATACGATGTAATATTCATTAAAATAGCTGCAAAACTAAATTTAAAAGACGCCTAGGTCCGTTCAAAATTTCTTTTAAAAAAATACCGACTTCGACCACAGTTCTCGGAAGACAGTTCTTTTACCATACGGACGGCGAAAGCGGAATATTTGAAAGTGTTACAAAGCCTGAGATGGATTGGCATTTCATCCGGGGAGGAGTACTTGGTCACTTGTAGGAACGGAAATCGGAAGCGATACAACACAATAGCGGAAGGAGAACCAAAAAGGCGAAAAAAGAAGTCACTACCTTTCAGTGATAAACTTGTAAAGCAGAGCAAACAGCTCCGCGGCATCTTCCATTGAACGCATGCGATACCTCGCCACTTGACGATAGTCTCTGTTGTGGACACAATTATCGCTATCATCTGCAAAATGACGTCGCCATTCCTTGGAAAATATGTCCCGGATGTCGACACAGAAGGCGTCATGCAGTTCCAAAATGTCAACACTGCTGATGTCCTCTTCAAAAAAAAAGAAAGAGAAACGGGCGAAATCTCACGATTTGCTGTCGTTTAGAGTACAGCAAAGCTTTCTTGACCTGATGGCTTTTACATGAAAAGGTTACAACTTTTGCGCACAAGCCTAAAAGTGACACTTTTTGAAAGAATTTAACAGCAACGCAATTCATTTTCCTGATTTCCTCTTCCTTCCCCTCCCCTCTCCCAAGACAATTTTTGTACATGACTCACATTCCTCAAACAGCTACATTTCAAATATTGAGGGATGAAAACTTACTGAGATGTTGCTTTTCATTTAAAGATACAGGGATGTTCCAATGATTCTATTCAAGATCGCCTAACATTCCAATAAAATTGAATTCTTACCCAAGAAAGAATTTCAAAGCAACGTAATTTACTTTCTTGATTTCTTCTTCTTTCCCCTCCCCTCCCCCAAAACAATTTTTGTACACGGGTCACATCCCCCAAACAGCTACATTTCAAATATTGAGGGATGAAAACTTATTGAGGTATTGCTTTCCATTTAAAGATACACGGGTGTTCCAATGACTCCATTCAAGATCGCGTAACATTCCCATAAAACTGAATTCCTACCCAAGTTATGTTTGGCAAAAGTCTTCCCAGTTGTTATCTGTATCTCGAGAATGACCCCTTTGGAAAGGTCCACTCCAACCATTCTCTCCTCTGTACTTCCTTCATTGTGCGCCTCTCCCTCGACTTCCACCATATATGTGCCTGAAGTCCTACATTTAAATAAAGTTTATTACTTCGCTGTTTGTTACAGAATCTAGCTTTATAATACGGTGTTTCAAATTTCTTTTTGACGATTAATAAAAGCGCTTGATGGAAGGATTTATGGAAGCTTTTGGCTTCAATTTACTGAGAAATAAGCATAGTTGACAAAATAAAGACTTCCTGGGTGATTCCCGAAAAATACAAATCACACTCCACTAAACGATTGAATTAAGATCATTTTCAGAGGGTTGGACACTTGCAAATAAGCCCTTAACCCCATCTAATCTCTTCTTTAAAATGTAATTTGAGAAAGTCAAAGTTAATGCGAATTTACTTCGTTCTTTTTGCTCATTTATTGTCTTTTTGTTTTACTCACGTTCTTGTTAAATATGAGGTGGTGATCTGAATTTTCCAATTAATGAAAGTTTTAGTACTTCCGCGACAGTTGTTGAAAGTTGAGAAACTTTCTATATAACACGACATTATACCTTGGACACAATTTTAAAAAAAGTGGAGATCCAGTTCGTTCTTTGAGAATAGATTTACGTTTCTTTCGACTGGGCCATGTCCTAACTTCCGATGACCGGACAGGAATTTTGCATGTTTATCCCACTGAATGTCCATGAAACAATTTCCAATTAGGATTTCAGAGACAATTCAGTATCACTTTCGTCTTGCTTCACTTTTCAAAATGACTGGTCTGCTGGAAACATCATGCCAACCTCTTAACCAATCAGACCCGAAACTAAAATCCCACGTGACTTGGTCACTCGCGTTTTAACGCCAATTTGAAGCCAATAACATGAACCACCGTTGACATCCCAGTATCTCCCTGGTATGTTACCTTTTTTTCTTTAAGACCGTTGTGGTTACATTTTTTTTAGCGTTACGAAACTCAAATGGAGACCACTCTACACGACATTACAGTCTAGAAGTATCTAAGATTACATACAAATCCGCACTTGATTCCACTTTGTCGTGAACCAGTTTTTCCAACTCAGGTGCAAAACCAAACTGAAGACGACTGGGGTGGGTTTCATTCTCCCTCCGTGCGCCTGCAGTTCTCTGATCAGCAGCGATAAAAGGAAGGAGTTAAATGACAACGTCAAATTCAATCGTTTGTATAGTCTCCACTAAAGCATAGATTGCTTAAGAAGGAAGTTGCGATCAGTGAGAAGCAGAAGGGAATTCCTCCTGTTGCATTATCTCGTCCTCCGCGCTCGCCTGACGTTTACCTCGCGTTTGCCTGGTGTTTGCCTTGCGCTAGCTTCTACTCACTAAAAAACGCCAGCTTTGAGAAGCTGCCACTCCTAACCTGTTCTGTGGTTAGACCACTTACTTCTGTGGTTCTGTCAGGACTCTCAAAAGTTCCACTAATCGTGTCATGCTTGGGAGACTGCTGATCTCCTACGGGTTCACTAGGGCTTCTCTCGCCTGTCGAAGAGATTTCGCCGTTCTGTTGGAGCTGAAGAAAAAACAATATCTATAAGCCTTGACGTAAATATTTATCTTACTTCTGTTAGAGTAATTTTAAACCGAAATCCGAAATGATTGCTTTGATATTTCTTCACAACACCAGATGCAAAATGAAAAACAACCGTGACTCAATATGTTAATTTACGAACGCTTCCCAGTACTTGTGGCCCATCAGCTATCATTGCTTACTTGAGAAGTTTTTATGATAATAATTAATTTCAAGTTGCTTTGGAATTTCCGATACTTTAGCGAATGAGCCTGCAGTGCGCACAAACCTGTGTCATTTCTTCTTCCGAGTGTACCTCGTCATATAACGTAAGCCATGCATCTCCACCGATCTGACGAATTTTCTCCACTCGAGAACGGAACTCGGCGTCTGATTCGTCCACAGACGATTTGGACTCTGTAAGGTGAGCGACGACAATAGACATAAGCAATGAGTTCATGAGTTAGGTTTACGACAACTGACGATAATTCACTCTCATACCCTCTCCCCAAGCCTTCAATCTTCAACTCCCGGAAGTGATTAATATGTAACTTCTTCCCACCGTATCCATACACTATTCAGCAAACAGGTTGCGAGAATGCTATAACTTATCGGGTAGAGGTCGTTATCTTGATCTACACCAAATTCTCGTCACTTATTTACCAGAGAATGTGTAGCAGTTGGTGTGGATAATAAACAATCTTAGAAATTAAGAGGTAATTGTACCTGTTATGGGTGTACTTGGTTGCGTTTCTGTTTCGGAGTCAAGAGCTATCACTCTGTCGATACTTCTGCCCTAAAAATCAAACCAAAAATGATCTCCATGAGTAAGAAACCACATTGAAAGAGTAAATTTTCAGTTCAATAATTCATTTGCAAACAAATTATACATTCCTAAAGACATTTAGTCGGGCAGGCACAAAACTCAAAACCAACACAAACAAATTAAAATAATAGATACTGCTTGTTTATATAGTATCGTACCTTCTTGTTTCCTCTCTTCGATACTGAGTACTGTGGTGGAGTTGGATAATTAATCATTTCGAAATTCTGCTCTTCTTGGAGTAACTCACGGATCTTGGTAATTTCTCTACTTGTTGGGTGCTGACCATCAAGTTCAAGCTGATCACGGACAAGACAAAGCGTAGGAATCAAACAAAGTTGGAAGGCTGATAGTGAGAGTTTCAATTGAGGGTTTACAGTAATTCCGGTTTGCAGTAGTTTGCCTCACTGCCTTCCTTAATTGTTGGAGAAAACCTGCTCCATCGACCAAATAGAGCGCTTTTCGATTGAGTGTCGTAAAACCGACAACAGTGTTATTGCAACAGCCAATCAGATGAAAGTACAATACCGGTAAGAGCCAATGAGAACCCAAAGTAAAAACAACCAAACGGCCTAGAGCGCGGGAAAGTCGTAATTGGTTTTCATTTTGCATCTTATTGATTGAGAGAGTGGCGCAAGTTTTCTAAACCAATCACGGAGCGAAGTAAAGCAAAACCAATGCAATCTTAGATTTCTTTCGACATCCAATCAAATATTGCTCCATACACAAAACCTTACTTAAGGTCGGCTAAGTGCATGTCTTCCCAGAACTCTCATTTTTCCTTAGTAAAATCAATTTTTTTTAAATTGGATCTACTGAGCGACAATCAGGCGAAAATCGATCGATAGCAATTCAACATGAGTTATTAAAAGACTTATCAACCTGTTCAGCGCGGTCATCAAATGCCGTGAACACCCTGACACGGTACAGGGGTTCCCTTGTCATGGCGTTATCTCTGAAATCCAGGATTTCCAAGCACGGTAATTCCCCTAACGTCAACACGGTACCGACGTCTGTGAAGTAATTCTCGCTGAGGTTCAGATCTGTTAAGGAATACATCTTGTCAAGGCCTGCAAGTGAGAGAATTTCATGTGAGCACTTAGGTGATATCTCAAGCAATCCTTATAACCCATAATGCATTGCTCGCATGAACTGGGATTGATTGCCATCAATTATGGTGCTTTTTTGGTCTCTGGCCGCCACTTTTTTTTTCTACTTGCAATTGTTTGCGACTGAAGGTCATTCTGTTGTAACGTATTGCACATCTTCTTACTGTGCATAATTTCACACGTAACAAGCGGGCATATTAAGAATTGCGGCTTTTTCTCTGTGGTCGGAGCTCACCAGAGAATTAAAATGTCATTTTCTGGCAAACGAGCACAGTGAACCTTTATTGTTTTCTCTTTCTTGGAATTAAGCAATGTCTATCCTAATGCAGCAAGTGCAGAGATTACCTGCATGCAAAATTAATTTGTGGAAATGCTTATTTAACCGGCTTTAAAACACAAATATAGAGCAAGTTAATTACCTACCACAAAATTACTAATTTAACTTAAGCGATTTATCCAACCCTTTAAACCCTAGGAGTGATTAACATCTAATTTCTTCTTACAAAATCACTCCTGAATCAAACATTAAGGTCACGAGACTAAAGGAAATGATCACCAACTAAAGATGCTGTTGATTGTTAAACAAATTCTCCTTGTCAGCACCTTAGCAGATGTAGAGAGAACTGCATGGAAAATACATATAATTGTAATATCATTACCTTCCACATTATCAAGTTCGTTTCCTGCCAGATTTAACTTCTTGATATTCCCAAGCCTTGTATTCAAGTTGTTTCCAAGACTTGCGATTTTATTGTAGGACAAATCCAGCTCGACCAGATTTGACAAGGCCTTAATCGAAAGAACAAAGCAACAATACTATAAGAAAGGTTTTTAGAAGGCATCAGAGATCGAAGAATTCCCTGTCTTCCATGCAGAGTTCTCCAGCTAAAGTTTGATAGCCTGACATATGAATTTTCATTCAGACTTGCGAGCAGAACCTCATTACTAACGCTTCAGCACAAGCGTGAGCTCTACTCGCGGGAAATTATGAGGCCTTTTAGCAAAGCGAGACGAGGAAAGCTTTGCCGGGGGTCTAGCACTGCAGTAGTGCCAGACCTCCAACAAAACCCTCTCCGACTCGTCTAAAATCTTCTCACGAGCGGAAAAACGAGTATCTCGCAGCGCTAATAATAAGAGAATACTTCACTGTTCCTTTAGATTATTATCGTGCTACTAAATTTCACTCGGAAAACCCTGTGCAAATATTAAAAGGGGGTAACGGGAAATAACTTTAAAGCAACTTTCGGTCATAAATTAACTTATAAATAAACTCTCGTTCGATCGTGAAATCCGATCGTCCGGGTGAGGGTAGTCCTGAGAAAGGCTTTTTTCGGTAGTGGTGACCGACGTTTCGCAAACCTGAGCAGAAGTCGTTATCAGAGTAAAGTGAAGAGTTGTTGTCATCCAAGTATTACAAGTCCAGTTCGTGTTTAGCCATGATGTTATTGGCTATGACATCGGTAGTGGTTCACGATCAAGTTCAAAGGTCTGACATTCGAATCCTCTAAAAGGGAATTTTTTTTTCCTTCGTTCTCCGTTCGTATAATATGATTAAATTCTTTCTTAATATTCACTTACCTGAAGATGTTCTATAGCGTCAATCTGATTGCAACTGAGATTCAAACATGTGACATTTGGCAACAAAACCTATCAAGAAATAGGCGAATAGAAAACAATCATTGGATGATTAGAGTATCAGTTCCTATTGCAACGTTTTTGAAGTTAAATGAACTCTGGCCCATGGTAGGCGGTGTCCCGGCGGATTTGGCCTCCCCTTTACCTGAACCTCCTTGGCCGATTTGGACCGCCCCACCCCCCAAGCGTAGAATACAATCAAACGATCATACTACGAGAGCAAAGACGCAAAGTAATCTTGAGGAAAGATTTAAACTTTTACCTTTAGTTGGTGTGTCACCAAAACACCATTATTGCCGTAAAATATTTAAAACAAACCATGATTAAGAGATAATTTCATAGAATGCCGCAGCATTTACCACTGATTCGTCGATATATGGAAGGTCATTCCGACTAAAATCTGCATCGTTCAGAGCTGTCCATGCCCGGAAGTCTGACGTTGAAGTCAAAGACGATGACCCATCTGCCTCCACTGTCTCCAGAACACCCTGCTCCCAAATCTCATCATCGACTAGTATGTCCTGCACATGAAAAATAAAACAAATATTACCGACGGAGGCCTATTTTTCATGCGCGCGGAGATAAGCATGAATCAAGCAATAGCCAAGCATGAGGAAAGTGCGAGGCAACCGCGAGGGGCGAGAAACGCGCGAGGGAAGAAGCAAAGTATTTCGCGCGCGCATACCCTCGCGCGTTTCTCGCCTGAGGTGCGTGTCTCGCCTCTTGCGCTCGACCCGCCTTTGCCTTCGCTTGTCTTCATTTTGCCTGAAAACGCAAAAAGATCGCCACCTTCGAAAAAACTCCGCCCTTTAATAAAAGCTCATCCGAAACGCTAAAACTTCAAGAAATGCCACGAATTTTGATCGTGTAAAGATGGAAACCACTTGACTTCCTTGGTCTCAAAATCAACTCTTCTTAACGTCTGCAATGAATTACAATCTACTTACTTTCAGCAAGTGGATTGAGTGATGAACTGTAAGCTTCTCTATCTGGCTTTGTATAAAACAGAGTCCCTCAAAAGGCTCCACTTCACAGCTGTCAATCTGAATACGATGGAAATGGACATATGTAGGCCAACTGATTGTAAGTGGTCAAAGAAACCAATACCGAGTCTTACTAACTGACTTCATAAATGACTGACTGGGTGACTGACGGCACCTGTCCAACTGACAGACTGAATCAGTGACTGACTAACTGAGTGAATGAAGAACTGACTGTCTAACCAACTGACTGACTGTCTGACTGTTAGTTAACTAACTGTCTGACCAACTGACTGACTGTCTGACTGGCTGACTGACTGTCTGACTGATTGTCTGACTAATTGATGGACAGACTATCTGACCAACTGACTAACTAACTGCTGGATAAAGGGCTGACTGCACAACCAAATGACTGACTGTTTGACTAAATGGTGGAGTAACTGACTAACTAACTGACGAAGGGCTAACACTCCAAATAACAGTTTTTAAACTCTTTACCGTGGCCAACTCAGTTGATAATTCTAAATTACCTTGTTAGACTCTCCCACTGATGCAGCACCACAGTTTCTCCAGAAATTTACCCCCTCTATTCATTTGTCTGACCAATTGACTGTCTGTCTGACCCACTGACTGAGCACCAGACTGTCTAACTGACTGACAAAGCAACTGACGGACTGCACCAGCGTGACTTACCAAAATTGCCAACCTAACTGCCAAATAACCACCTGGCTGACCAACAGGCTAATAATTGCTTATTTCACTTACTTCAAGGGTCTTCAAAGACTTGAATAAACCAAGGTTGCATTTTAGTGTCATGTTGTCACTCAGTTCCACCAGCTTTTTGTTGCCCGAGGCCTAGAAGATACTGTAATATTACAAAACCATTCTGTACACATGATACTCCTCAGATGAAAAAGGCACAAACCAAAAGAAAGTGAGCAAAAAAATAACACAGTCATTTCTGTTTACCTTCAAATGTTTTAGTTGATATAAGAAGTCATACAGGTTGCCTATTTCGCCATGTGGAACATGGGAATCTGTAAAATAGCATTCACATTCAGAAAACTTTAATCAGTGAAAGTTACTTATTGACTAAGTGGGAAGGCTGGATGGAAATATATTTGGCTTAAGGTCATGATACACCAACTGCTTTAGCCTGGTAAGGTTGATGTTCCGCATGGCCCACCCAACTTGGTCAATAAATAATTTACCTTAGGATCCCCCAAGGGCCAAAGTGGGGAGGGGGGAGTTAGGTGCATAAGATCCCCTTTTTAAGCCTTTTTTCAAACAAACAACCTAAAATATTCAGGTAGCAAAAAAAAGGTGAGTACCCTCTGTTTGAACAGTGTGACCCCCCTCCACTTCCTTGAAAACATGGCTATGCCCCTGTCCCCCATTTTTCTCCTTTTTCCTTCTTGCATTTTTTCTGTCCTGTATCTTGTAAGGCTTTATGCCATCATGGCTTTTTCTGGCCCTGCTCATGTATTGAATACAGCCCTTCTGCCCCATTTTTTTTTTACAACAATAATTTTTTGATAAAAACACGCCTGGCTTCATATGGGTCAAGTGATAATAATAGTATCATTGACTGAAAAAAATGCATGTCAATATTTCAGAAATTTAAAACTAAAAAAATTGTATCCCCCATTCCATAATCACTGTCAGATATTGTTTGCAGAAAAGTTATAAAGTTTAACGTATTATAGATCACACAATATTTCAATATTTTCATTAAATATTAAACATCCTACCACATGTTGGTGCAGCCATGCCAAGCCTGCTTGTTATACAGTGCAGCTGAAGTGGTGTGAGGATAAATTGTTCTTCCTTCGCCAGAATTGCATCTCCTTTTTTTTGGAAAAAATTAAAGTGTATAATAGATTAATAGATATAGAGGATGAAATTATTAACATAAAAATTAGAATAGCATTAACCCTTTAACCCCTAAGAGTGACCAGTATCTAATTTCTCCTTACCCTATCACCCTCACATCACACATTTAGGTCACAAGAAAAAAGGAAATCATCAGCAGCTAAAGAAGCTCTTGATTGTTAAACAAATTCTCCTTCTTGGCATCTTAAGAAATGTACAGAGAACGGTATGGAGAATACAGATACTGATGTTAGGGTGTAAAGGGTTAAATGCATCAGCCTTTGACATACTAAAATTTTAAATTTATGTTGAAAAAGTTTTCACTCAAAACATTTTACCAATTTAAAATAAAATAATATTTAAGACATATGGTTATCTCACTTGAACTTAAGCCCATAAACACTGGGAAAAAAAGAATATTACCATAATCTTACATGAAACCTGACATATTCAGTTTGCTAAGCAACAACTTTTGCTGCAAATCATGTTGTCAAAATTTTTCTTCTTGCTATAGCAACCAAAATGATTCTTGCTTATAACCCTTGTGACAATAACACTCACCAGTAATAAATAATTCTTTAGCCAGAGTATGAGTTACACCACAAACATCCTGTGGACCAAAGAGAAACAGACTTATCATGTCACTTGTGATTTCCTGAATCAATCAAATTTGGTTTTTTGTTGGAGCACATATACAGTTCCCTTATAAACGAGTGCAAGATCCAAGTTTTTCCACTGGCATCCATGGCCCAAGCTTGAAGCCCAAGAGCCATAAATCCAAGGGGGAAAGAACAAGGTTAGAGACCTGAGTCCTTCTTTTATGGACTGAGAAAAGTCATCTATTCGTCATATCTCTGAGTTCAAATAGAGGGGAGCAATTTTAAATCAGAAAAAAAATTAAATTTAGCTTTTATGTACTGCCTGCTGAATTGACAAATCAGAGTGCACAAACTAGCTGAGTGATATGAGACTAAGTAATAACCATATCAATCTGCGACACTTACAAATTTATCCGTCTCTAAGAATTCCAACAATTCTTTAGGTAAGTTCTCTTCAAATGTTGACAACAGTGTTTCAAAGTACTCTTCCAAGGCTTGCCTTCTCCTTTCCACATACTCAGGCTGAAGAAATCCAAAATACTTCTTTGGTGGTATTAGAGAGCGATCTATCTCATGACTTTTCACAAGCTGTACACAACAAAAAAATAATTAAAAAATTATTTGTAACAGAAGAGCCCTGAGTCTGTAAACTTCTTCTCAACCAGAATCAAGGAACTTATTTGGAAAGCATTTTTCCAAAATTTTGTAATTTTTACAGCTTTGTTGAGGTTTTCATCATTCTCAAATAGTTTTTTTTATGTCTAATATGAAATATTTTCTGTTGCTGTAGCTCTCTCTCTTAAGGTTCTAGTGAAGGTTTTTTCAGACTTTGCATCTCCCAATGTAAATTCTGAAAAATTGACTGCTTGAGTTGAACAGATTTTCAGGACTTTCTGGGCAGCTGTAGTCAATTTCCAGTATTTTCCAGCCCAGGAAAATGTCAAAATTAATTTCATAGACTCTCTAGGTTTTCCAGGACTCATACAATCATGCAAAGGCCCTGAGTTTGCTCCCTCCCCACATCATCGTCAGAGAGGGAGAATGGGGACAGGAAGGATGACAACAATAGGAAACACTATTTGATACACAAATTCTAAATATTCTAATTAGAACAACTTTAGTTTCAAGAGTATTATTAAGGTTACTGACCTTCTCATGAAGATCATAAAACTCTCTATATCTTCTAGCCACCAGCCAAGAGTACTCTCTGATGAAAACCTCTATGTAGTAGACCTAAACATTATTTTAACAATCTATCAATAAGGTCCTGAGTATTTTGCAGCGAAGATTTTGTGCGTGATTTTAATTCTAAAGAAGGCCTCAGCGAAGGATCGCCTTTTCACAAAAGGTTGGCATTCACTTTCTCACACTCTATGTGAGTCAACATGTTTTGACCTCGTAAGCTTAATGTTTCTGATTGTTTCTAGTCTCTGATTTCTTTCGTTTTGTAGCATCTGTATCTTGCATCTGTATGATCAACACAGCTATATTTTCGTTTCATTATAATGACAAGGAAAAGAAACGGTTATATGAGTAACACATTTTCAACAAAATTTTGACCCTCAAAGGACCTTGCGTCAGATACTTGCGGATGTCGAAATTACTGTGCGTTAATTTAAAACTTGATCATGAAAGCAAGCTACTTCTTAGCTTTGCAGCCGATTGTGACAATAAATTTGAACATTTTCCATCTACGTGACAATTCAAAAGGTGGATATATTTAACTTAATAATGTAGATACATTTAGGCATCCACTACAGTATACACATTTCAAACCGTTGGCGACAAAGTGACAGCGATCAGTTTAAGGTTTTCCGCATCGTCTTAATCGAATTGACTTCGTACCGTGTGCGATCCGACCTGCTCCGTGGCGGGAATCAGCACTTTGAGGACCTTCATTGCAGTGTCTTCTTCTGCAAACAGCACCTGTTATTCAAGATGCACAAAGCAGTACAAGTCGTTCAGGAACATGATAAATATTGCGTGAGTATAACACAACTACAAATCCAGATGAATTGTTACAAAAGCATCGATGACTAATGACTTAGCAGCCAGGCCTGGCCGAAACATATGAGGCGGAAAAGAGGTACCTCACATCCGGTTCGTAATTATTATTTTATCTAGGAACAGACAACGCGCTCGGTTTTAAGGCATAGGAAAACGCAAACGTTCAAAGTTTACCCACGTTTGATGAAAAGAGTGAAATTGATAAAAAAAAATCATCACTCGATCAAAACGAAAGGAGACAGGCCTTTTCATTTTCTGACCTGATTTTCTGATTCTCTGTCTGCCATAACTTGTGGCTGCCGAAAGGAGTCCATACTTGTTTTTGAAGAACAGTGGACATGTTCCAAAGACTTCCGGTTTCCTTTGTAAAATAAATGCCATTTTCATCGATTTCTTGTTCATCGTAGAGATTATTTCTCTCAATTACGATCTCGTGCTGTGCATGTGAAAGTGACCTATTCAGATACATAACAAAAAGCAGGATAGCACGCATGGCGTAATAAAAAAGAAAAAAGAAAAGAAAAACATTTAAAAAAAAAGTCTCAAAATAAAACATTGAACTTTTCCCTAAATAAATATTTTTCGTTTTTTTTTTTTTATGAAATTTTTCTATAACAGTCCGATCCCCCATAGAGGTTCTTTAAAAAAATCCTGGACAGGTCGTTGGAACACAGAACAATAGAGTCAAATTGGGATGAGAGCAGCTGAGGAATGCAACCACAGGGCAGGCAACCACAGGGCAGGCAACCACAGGGCAGGATAACGGAAGGATGTTATCAATTTCATGGGCATTTTATCTAAGTTCCGAGCCTTAAAAGGTAAAAACTTACCAACCTCCGTAAGAGATATTTTTATCGAATGCTTATGAATTCTCAGCGAGAATAGAATCATTACTATCTCAAAGTTGAACAAGGAAGGCTACTCACGATGGTTACCACATAACGACGTAGAAAGATAATAAATCGAACAAAACTTTATTAAAAAAATTTCAAAATTTACTTCAAAGTCAAGTCAGACTTCCATTACACCAAACCCTTTACGTAGATCGTCGCTTTAACCCTTTAACTCCCAGAAGTCAGATTAACATACAATTTCTCCCTATAATATCCATACATTATTTAGGATGCTCAAAGTTATCAGCTAGAAGTTGCTATCTTGATCTAACACCAAATTCTCGTAACTAATTTACAATGAATTATATAGCAGTTAGAGGGGAGAATTAACAATTAGATCCTAGGAGTCAAAGGGTTAATTAAGACCGATATTCTTAGTTCTGAACATCAAATGACCGTTAACCGCTCCACAACTATCAAAGATTCTCTGTCTCCTGGTGCAGTCAACAAGATTTTTGGAGGACAAGAACAGCGTCGATAACTTGAGTGCAGTCCATTGCAGTGTTTAGGAGAAGACACCAGGCTAGTGACGTCCTGCCGGCCGAGAGAAGTCTGATTTGACTTACACAGTGTGGCGAAGAGCAATAGAAATGCGCCAAAAATCATGGGTCCAGCGGCCAAATAAAAAACAGGTTTAAACGTTTTTAGATGGTCGTACATGAAACCTGAAAAAAGAAATGACATTTTTTCCTTCTAAGAATTCATTTATGCATGCCTGTAATGGAGCTATGTAACCCACCCAGCCAGAGCTTATCCTTAGGGCGACTAGGAGCATTACTACTCCCTCTCCCCTCCCCCTGCCAGTCCATCGCAAAGTTACCCCCAGCGATTCATCGGGCTTCTCTGACAATAAACCGTTTCCCACTAATACTCCCGGCCAGCTCTCGAACCCAGACCACTCGACCCGCAGTCATGTGCACTAAAAATTAGGCCACTGTATCTCCGGCACACGCCTAAATTAGTGATTGTTCAATTTAGCTCTCTAAAGAATTGACAGGGTGATCTGGCAATTACAACGGAGAGATTTTTTCATCGGTATAGATGGAAAATATATCAGAAGAAGTATCCTCTAAAACCCAGACATCATTCATTTAAAAATCGGCCACTAGTGTTCCAAATCCAAAATCGGTCACTAGTCTGCAAAATTCAAAATCTGCCACTAGCGTCCAAAATAAAAAATCGGCCACTAGTGTGCAAAATGCAGAATTAGCCAGTAGTGTTCAAACTCCAAACTCGGCTACTGGTTTGCAACATTACTGTCCTCAATCCAAAATCGGCCACTACTGTCCAAAATCCGAAATCTGCCACTAGAGTCCAAAACTCAAAATCAGCCACTGGTGTCCAAAATACAAAATCGGCCACTGGTGTCCAAAATACAAAATCGGCCACTGGTGTCCAAAATACAAAATCGGCCACTGGTGTCCAAAATCCAAAATCGACCACAAGTGTCCAAAATCCAAAATTGGCCACTCGCGTCCAAAATCCAAAATCGGCCACTCGCCCCCAAAATCAAAAATGAACCACTACTGTCTAAAATCCAAAATCGGCCACTAAGGTCTAAAATCCAAAATCGGTCACTAATGTCCAAAATCCGAAATCGGCCACTAGAGTCCAAAATCCAAAATTTTCCACTAGCGTTTAAAATCCAAAATCGGCCATTAGGGTTCAAAATCCAAAATCGGCCACTAGCGTCCAAAGTCCAAAATCCGTCACTAGTGTCCAAAGTCCAAAATCGGCCACGAACGTCCAAAATCGGCCACGAACGTCCAAAATCCAAAATCGGCCACTTGCCTCCAAAATTAAAATCGGACGCTAATGTCCGCTAATCAAAATTGGATATTTCTGTCCAAAATACAAATCGGCCACTAAGGTCCAAAATCCAAATCGGAAGGCATTGTCCGAAACTAAAAATCTTATACTAGAGTTTAAATTAAAATCCAGAATGAACCTCTACTGCTCAAAATCAAAAATCGGACACTAGTGTCCAAAATCCAAAACTGGGCTGCCATAGTCTTATCGCGTTCGAAGACGATTTCGATTCTTTGACTTAATATGGCGCGTGGGCTGTGTTCAATGTTTTTTCTCGTTCTTTCACTGACGGTTCTTCTCCACCTCCACTCAGTGGTATATGTTTAATAAACTTGGTATGGTTTATCAGATGACGAGATGTCATGTCGATCTCGGTATGAGCTAACCACATTTGTGTAGTAAGCAACAAGAATTCTTTAAGCCAATATATTCATTGAAAAACAAATACCTAACTAACCAATTGTTTAAAGAATGCGAAAAAATAACCAGGGAGAATTAAATTTTAACGTTACCTGCTGTTGGAGGGCCTAGCAAATAAGTGAAGGACTGGCAGAAAAACAAGATTCCCCAGGCAGGGGCAATTTTGTGCACTCCCACAATGTCCAGGGTCACGATAGACATGAGTCCGATATAAGAACCATCCAGAATTCCCAGCACCACAACATACACGACAAGGGCCCAGTAGGAGCTTGCTAAGGGACATAATACCGAGGCTAACCCAGATAAGAACATGCATAAACGGTATATATGAATGTTTTTAAAAGAACACGCATCCGAGATTCGCCCAAAGAGCAACCGACCGAGAGCCGAGGAGATTCCGAGATAGGAAATGAGCCAGCTGCCTTGGGACAGCGGTATTCCCAGGTCTTCAGAATGTCGCACCTAGCGAAAAAAAAAGATATTCGATAAATTCCGCAGTAGTTATTTTTCTTTCCATGCAAGGCATTCTCGAGATGGACACGCCAAACTTCCTGTAGAGGGTACCTACCTTAAATTTTAAGTGATAAGTGTCTTAGGACTACAACGAAAGTGATCTCTGGGACTGCAAGCTTTCTATCACAAATCTTACAATCTGATCGGGCCATTCTACCCAATTCCTATTCCGTGACCGACAATAAGTGAAGAAAGTAGTCTGGCGATGTGCAATTGATAGCAAAAACAAACACAAAAAAACGTGAGCCCGTCTTTACTATATGTTTGAAAAACTAGAAGATTTTTTTAAGGAGCAAATAGATTATTATACTACGAGAGGTCACTCCGTTCTAGCGAAGTCCGCCGTGCGGACCAAAACAAAATCAACGAAAAACATCAATGGTAACGCGTCGCGCGGAACGTTGCTCTGAGAGTGAGGCACGGCGCGTTCTTTTCGAGCACCTCCCTCTCAGAGATCCACATCGATTATTATTATTATTACCGTTATTATTATCATTATTATTATCATTCTTATTTGTCGATATTTCTTTTGATACGCGCAACGTACTTCGCCGAGAAGAGGGACTTTGCGTAGCCTATTAGATTATTTGCCCTCGATTCCTTGCGTGATAAGTTATGAAGTCTTCGCCTCCATCAACTATCACGCCTGAGAATTTCAAGCTCATAATTTTATTGTTAAATAGACTTACTTACTAGAAAAAAATGCGGTATAAAATAACCAAATCCTGCTATGGTAGTAGCAACCGTCCACAGCACAAAGCCGCGATTATTTAACACCGACATATCAAAGCACTGATTTCTTTCAGCGCCGAGAGGAACATGATTTTGCCTGTTCACGGACCTATAAACCAGTCCTGTAATGGCCATCATTATCCCCCCTAAACCCATTATACGAAAAGAAGATTCCCATCCGTATCGTTGTACAATGAGTTGTAGAGTAGGTGGGAAAACTACAGTTCCAAAACTGCTTCCCGATGCGACAATACCGGTGGCTAAAGAAAGATGTTTGTCGAAGTAATCCGCTGACACAATTAGTGCCATTGTCGCACAAAGACTCGTTCCTATACCCAGCAGTAAACCGTAGCTGATGTACAGAAATAAAAGACTAGGCGCGTATGAGCTTAGAAAAAGTCCAACACTCATAACAAGTCCTCCGGCGATCGTGACAATACGGACACCATAACGCCCCGCAAGAGAACTGGTGACGGGGCTGAAGAGGAAGAGAAGATTGACAGATATTGAACCAATCCAAGCTGAGGAAAAAAGGAAGTCTCTATTAGTTTTAAAAACGATTCATCGTTTTGTTTACAATGACCTAAAAAACCATTTAAAGGTTAACCAGGTCATGGTTAGTGTATACTGAATGATTCTCCAAGTTTGTCTTTTGTAACTGTGTCAATTTTCTTCGTCCTGGGTACTAGTCAGTAATAAGCACTTAGAGGGGGTCGGAGGGGTTTTTTGGGTTCACATGGCTTCAAAGAAGAACGGAAAGAAGATCCGTCGTCGCTAACGGAGTATAAAGGTGAAAGTAGAGAAAATTTACTGCCAATGAGGGGGGGGGGAGGGGGAGGGAAGGGGTCATTAGAATGCTGCAAAGCCTTAGGGAGGGGTGATCAGGTAGATTTTATGAAGACAGTCAAATCCTCCGATACCCCCAGGTAATAAGTTAGACCGTCACTTAGCCACGTTCATCTTCATAAGAAAGAAGTAGTTTAAGGAGAGAAAGGTGAAAACTTTATGCAAAGAACCATCATGATATTAACCCATGCTTTCTCCGAGTGCGATGGCTTTACCGCTAAGAGCTCACAAATTATAGAAATCAGATAACAATTAAGTTTTCCACAAAAGAGATAGCAAGTGAGCTGTTGCGCAATTTCAGATCTAAAACACATGCATAACATCACGTACTGAAACTTACTCTGGAAATTGTAAAATGCATGTTTTTCGAACACTTAATTACGACAGAGTGGGGAAAATTGGGAGCGGAGCTTCCGGATTCTCAAAGACGCTTTTTGCCAATTTCTACTGCTCATCCGTCGAAAACTTTCACAGGGCGGCCAGTTACGCTGGCGAAAGACGCATTGATGAGAAAGGAAGTTCCTATTTTCCTTACAATATAACGTGTAATGTAAATCAGTTAACAGAGGACTCGAAGATTTACGCAGCTGGTCTAAAAAATGTAACTTTGCATGAGCGCCATGCATGTTGAAGCCTTAAGTCGAACTTTCTAGTTTCAATCTTAATTTTGGTGCATTTTTAATGATCTTGGTTTGTAATGTTAATATAATAAACGCTAGGGAGTCATGTTAATTGCGGTAAAATACACCATTTTGCTTTACGTGATCATCTTCTGTCGCGGAAGTTTAGGGGGAATAAAGGAAAACCCAAATTTTCAATTTTCAAGTTCCAGCAGTCACGGAAAGGATTCTTAGCATCGGCTCAAATGCGTCATTCGTGGTTGGAAAGATAAAAAACAGCGAAAATTTAAGGCCACCATTATCCTTAAACTACTGAAACCATACGTAAAAGATTCACACAAAATGCATCATTTCAATAAAGCAATTAAGGGCGCAAATTTCTATCAAGTTAGCACGGAAAGAATTCACGGCGAGCATGACGCAGTTACTAATAGCTAGAAGGATTGTCATACAGATTTAATAATACTAATGAAGGAAAAAATCACTCAGAGCGAAATCACCCCTTCCCACTTCAGATATTACACTCTTACAGTCATAAGGGTTTTTTTTCTTTTTCGAATGCACTCTCGGTGTTCATTGATATTTATGAATTTGCTGAGTTGACGCCAACTAGAACTTTTACAGTGGATGAAAACATGTTTTCGGATTTTCTGTGAGCCGTGAGTGACACTGATTTTCTACTGATTACAAAAGGAGAAAAATCCTTTGTCAATTAGGCTAATTACACAAAATTTAAGGTGAAACAGCTGAAACCATTTACAATTTAAGAAGTTTTGAAAAACGTGCTATTTGTTTGTAACATTATAACAAGTGTTTGATGAATATTGTACGTCAGAGGAAATGGTATCTTTTATTTGTTTTCTTCTTTTGCTCACGCACCTTTTTCTGCTGTTTTAGACCTGACATTACGTTAGTTTTTCGACTGCATGTGGTCTAATTACTAGAAAACTCAACAAAAGCATCTGCTTTCTAAACACTGAAGGATACTTGTCTTCCTTGGAAATTTTATCATGCGAATGTACAAATTGATCGCACACATGATCACTTGATTAAAGAATTAGAGTTTGCTTTTGTGCCGAGGAAAAGATTTTTTGTTAATAATACATCGCTTAAAACAAAAATTCAGCGGAAACCAACTCGTTCACTGACTAACAACATGCTGATTGCATTACATCCCTTTTTTTCGTTTCGTTTCGTCGCTTTGAAATTGTTTTAGTTTGTTTTCGGCTAGCGAATACACGCCACGTAGTGCGATTAAAGACCATGATGACTTTTTATTTGCAATCTCTTAAGAAATTTCTCGGCTGGCTTAATGGGGCATATTTTTATTATTGACCGCTAAATAAACTCTCGAAGGTAACAACTTTTTCAGTCAATCATATTTGCATATGATTATATAATGATAGAGTGAAATTTTGGAAAAAAAAAAAAAGAAACCAACACAAATTTGTTTCTAGAACTAAAGCGAACGTTTTCCTCGATGGGCATTCGTAGAACGAAAAGGAAACTTTATTTTAAGTGCCGATTTAACCGTCGCTAATATTAAAAGCAGAATACAATAAAGCCAGGCAGAATTCACGAGTCAAATAAATGCTAGTCCACGTTGCTTTAGGATATTTCTGTATCAGATCTGATTTTTTTTGCGCTATACATTGTTGCTTACATTGATATAGCTATTTTTGAGGGCCAGGGATTTTCCTAAATCGCTATCGTACATAATCCCTAACTAGAATAATTGCAGTGTTAATCTTGGCCTCCACGAGGCCAAGAAATTTGCATAAAACGCTCGTATCACTCTGCAAAGTAAACCTAAACATTATGATTCGTCTCTTACAAATCGGCGTTCGATTTTCGTTTTCAGCCTGTTGTTATTTCCTCTGTCGATTAACTACATCACTGAATCGGTAATTCTACACCATTGGATTGCATTTGAAACTCGAAATTTACGCTTCGTTGCAATCTTAAAATACAGTATATTTCTAACAATAACTACGACGCGCTATCGCCACAGAAAGAAGTCTCTCCTTAAAACATGAACATATTTTACGTTCTCGATCTTTTTTTGTATTTCGTCGATAAAGCATTGCACTAAAAGATTATGTGTCAGTTTTATCGAAAAGAGGTATGCTTTTCTGCAAATGATTCGCATGGGTGATTTGAAGGACATAAATGCTGATTTGGAAATCAAGTGGATACATTTCTGACTGTGGGTTTGAAAAATTGCTACAAACATTAGTTGGAATGGCTTACTTTGACAAACAACTCTAATTAAGGTTTTCCTGTCAGCAGCTTTTTCGATCGAAAGTTGTGTGTTTTTAGGCCTACAATTTCCTTCGAAGGAAAGTTATACAGCCACGATATCTGAAGCGATTCTTAGGGTAGTTACTAATGGCATAAAATACTTAACTACTCTGTAGATTTGAGCGGTCTAAAGAGAAAAAAATCGTATGCTTTACTTACCGGTACTTGCTTTGTTTGCATTGAAATGATCAAGTAATACCACGAGAAGAACACCGAACGACGTATGAATTCCATAAACCATGAACATGACGAAAAAAGATCCGCCGCACACAACCCAAGCCCAACCGCGATCTTTCGCCGAGCTCGTGTTGCATTCAGTCGGTAGTTGCGTATGGGAGTAGTTTATCAGAGTAATGCTTCCTCCAACGGGAATTGATGTTAGGTTTTCGATATTCATGGACGATTGCGATCGTGTTACGTCCAGATTTCGCGGGGGCATATCGCCAACTTTGAAAGTTACGCTTTCAGATTGTAAATAAGGTTTTTCCGATACAGCAAATCGCGGAAGACAAATCAAAATGTCGCCCCCGGCGGCTTGTCAAGCCTCAAGCTTTCGGTGATCGTTCCTCCACACGAATTTCTCATTTACAATTTTGCTGGTAAATGGTGGATGCATCAATTGAAAAACCTGCTAAAACATGAACATCCAGTTTGCAGAACGGGAATTCGTTTGCAGTCCGCAAAAACCTACTCACTTTTCATTGGCGGAATTACCTTCATCCTGAGATCATGATAATTGCTTCACATTTTGGTTTTTCCTTCGTCGCAGTTTATCGGCGACAAGAATACGAAGGAAGCGGCAAAAGGTGGAAATTTACGAGAATCGACAACCCCAGTTGATTTCTGGTTTCACCTTCTTTTGAACAAGCATTTCTGGTAGTTTGATTTTATAAACCCTTTCCGTGCTTACATGTCATGATTTGCTTATCTCTTTTGTAAGTGTCAGTGGGAGATTTTTTAGGGGCTTCTGACACAGATTCTAGCCAATGACGAAGGAGATGCTACTAGGAGCAAGATGTCGTTACAAAAATGTGTAATCTACACGCTACTGATGCAAAAACTAACAAAGTTTTTTTTTCGATTTTGCAAGATATGAAGAACTTATTTGTTATAATATGTTCATCTGATTCCATTTCATTTAGTATGCTTAATATCTTTCTTATCAGCGATTTAATTTGTCAGCGGTTTATGAATTCACGAGTTTGCTCAGTGCTGTGCTTCTTAGAGAGTCGTTTTGCCAGCTGCGAGCCCAATATCCGCGCAAAACGATGGAGAAAACTTTAGAAACTTACAGTGTTACGCAAATTTTGCGAAAAATCGAAAAGTTCATAAACTCCTTTTCGAGCTGAAAGTTTATTTAATGACGAGTATTCCGTTGATTTACAATTTGGTTCTGAGCTTCAACGTATTCACTTTGAAAACAATTTTTAAACTATCATGAAGTAACCCAGCCTCCGCTGCCTTTGTCTCCCTTTTTATATATAATGAAGTTAACCCTGTTCTCTCAGCTAAATTTCCTTTTTAAAGGTAATTAGACTAGCCCGCGAGCAGGCCTCAGTAGGACGCGCGTTATCCCGCGTGGAAAGATTTGAAAAGTGTCGAGGAGAGGTTTTCTGGGAATCTTGCACTATCAGCTAGACCTTTGAAGCGCTTTAAATCAGGGTCTGTTCGAACGCTATCAATTAGATGAGCAAAATTCTCTAATCGCTTTGCAAGACTTGTTTTGGGAAGTTTAATCTTTGTGATACAATTAATTTCCAAATTTTGCACAATTTTCGGATCAATATCAGTATCTGGGCAACTTCTCACTTACCCCTCCCCCAACCCAACAACAGTCAGAGGAGGGGTAGGTGGGCAGTTGCCCAGATACGGATATTGATCCCAATTTTTCGTAGCACATTCTCCTTCCCTTACGTCATCTTTCCTCTCGTTTCCAGCTCTTACTTGTTTTGTGGCTTGTTTTCAATCCCAGTTCCCGCTCCAATAATCCCGTGAACGAGATTACGTAATCGCAGCAGAGACTTTCACCTATGACGGGATGAAATTCTGCTGTGACTATTCTCTTTTGTTCATAGTGCTTACAGTAAAGAGATTTCTGATGGGTAGCGAAGGTAAGAACGATAATTTTTAAGGCGATGGTTTTCACATTAAAGATGCGATTTGCTTAACACCGAACAAGTATTTGCACGTCTGCCTGCTTGTTCATCAATAAAACACAGTCTGTTTTAGCAACGTCGTATTGGGTTAATTTTGGACGAAACCGGATGCAATTCCACTCAGAAGATTCTAGTTTCAGTTTCGAGAATATTTCTCTCGAAAAGCTGTTGACAAGTTCTTCCGATCTATAGGACTTTTCACTGTTAATGTCGACCATGCCTCTATTTTGATAAGCTCGATTAGGCACTTCCTAACTTCTTTGCATTCGTTTACATTGTCTGTCAACAACCATTTCAATAACGTATCCTTAAATTGATAAAAATTTCTCCCAGTGCTGTCTATTTTTAGGATTTGTGCTGACAGAATTACGCGCTGTCTTATTATGATAAATTTATTGTAAGTTTACCAGTATGCGTGATAACTATTAAAAAAATGGAATTTTTCTTGAAGATCTGGTCGTTAATGATGTTTACATTGTTTTGTGTTCGTTCTTAGATTCATTTTATTCACAAATAAATGATTTTATATGTAGTATTTAATTTGATTGGCAAATCAGCGAACGAACATGCTAAACCTTGTCGACCTCGAGTTAAATTTTTAATGACGTCATATCCTTCCGCAATAAATTTCATGGTGAGTATTTCCAGAAAAGGTCAGATCGAAGATAGCGAGTGTGCGAATATGTGGCAAGTTTTTCCACCAAAAGATTCTGTACAGGATTTTCCTGTGAAATTTTCACGTCGAGGTATTGTGTTATTAGTACTTTGAAATAGTACAACCTTTTGATTATAGTCAAAACATGTGAACTGTACATCCAGAAACATTATTTAACAATTATTTCTACCGCGTCGAGCAAAATTTTGATATCTGATGATTCATAACTTGATTTTGTGTTTGACATTGTAATTCTTTGTCTATAACGAATTTTTTGCGTTAAAAAAAATTGATTTTAAACCCAAATGATCACAGGTATTTTGACTATACAAGACTGCTGATTTCAAATTCAAATGTAAACTGTCTCAGCCGTTTATTATAATTCTTGGTTTGTCTGGTTTTGTGTTTGTGATGGAAAGCCTGTTCTGACACAATCACAGCCACTGTTGATCTACAGTTTTGTTTGATGAGTAGGTTTCACATTTATTTTCACAATCTTATTGCAAGACATCAGTTGCGATTAAAGAACAGACAGAAAAACATTTAGGCATGATATTAACACTGCTTACTAGAACAATTAATCTTTAACTGGCAACTGATCTGTTTAACCTTCTGTTTTTGATCAATTTATTTTGCATAATTTTTTTCCCACATTAGCTGATTATATTGGTTAATGTTTGCACATAATAACTATACCAGATTTAGAAGAATATTCAGCATCCTTTGCTGTCAGCTGTTAACAGATTCCACAGTTTAAAACTGTAAGGACAAATTAGATGCTGGTTACTCCTAGGGCTTAAATGCAGCTTTCCATTCAACCAAAAGTTTTACTTTTTCAGTCATTTCTCTTTGCTGGCTCGGAATTCCAGCTGGCAACCCATTCTGGAGGAAAAGCAAATCACTAATAGTCACTTTATGCTATGTAAACTGGGAGCCCTTGAATCCTTCTGAGTGACTAGCATCTAATTTCTCCTTACAGGATCACTTTTGAATCAAACATGAAGGTTATGAGTGTAAAGGAATAGATCGACAGCTTCAGAAGCTCTTGATTTCAAAGCAAATTCTCCTTGTTAATATAGTTGGAATTGTACTAAGAGCAGCATGAGGAATATACATACTGATGTAAAGATGTTAACCCTTCAGCTCCTAAGATTTCATTAGTAATTCTCCTTACTGTCTAACATACAATTCTTCCAATATTACTTCTGAGAATTTGGTATTGGATCAACTAATAATCCCTTAATTGTTACTCTTCGTAGTTCTCATCACTCAACTTCTTAATTTTGTATCGATATTGTAAGGAGAAATTCTGTCTTTGTCACTTATGGGAGTGAAAGGGTTAAGATGTTAGGCTCCAGCAATAAAGCTGGTATGCTGGTGAGCACTAAGCTGGTGAGATTTCACTTCAATTAGTTTCAAACAATTATTTACTTAATTGTTAGCAACCAAGACAGAACAAGAACCATACAAGGTTGAATTTAGTGAGAAGGAACTTAGAGAGAGACTTACCCCACAACAGTACCGTGTGACACAGGAGAAGGGAACAGAAAGGTAAAACAAAAATACTTGTTGAGTTTTCTCTATGGTAGGTTGTAGCTTATTTGTAATTAAATATTGATCGTATTTGTTTAAAAAACATGTTTAAAAGCAAATATGACCACTGGCTCAGGAAATCTCTCATTGCACTCTTCAAAAAAATTTTTGACATGGGATAATTTTGGTCTAAAATAAGTGGAGCCTTCAACCTGCTTCTTAGATCTGCTGCTGAGTCCTTAGTTATAAACTTATAGCTTATAATTATTTGACTTTCCTTAGAGCATTTACTGGTGAGCTTGTGAATAACAAGAAAGCTGGTGTGTATAGATGTGTTGTGTGTGGCAAGGAGCTGTTTTTGTCTGACACCAAGTTTGATTCAGGGTCTGGTTGGCCTTCATTCTGGGACACACCTACAGATGGGACTGTCAGAAAAATTACAGATACTTCACATTTTATGACAAGAACTGAAGTCACTTGTGCTGATGTGAGTTGAATCCTTTCAGCTTATATTCCTTTCAGAATGGCACTCTGTAGTGAAAGCTGTGCACAGAAATCTTAAGCCCTGAACTTGGCAAGATTTGGGAACATTTCTCTTAGTTGCTGTTAGATCCTGCTAAACGTCTGTCTAATTAAGACACAGTGCCTAGTGGGTTGTCCTCTAGATTCTTGAGTAGAGTGTCATAGTTTCACTCCATGTATTAATTTTTGGGCAAACAGCGATATTGAAGAGTTATTGGGGCCTGAAAATGATGCTGAAAGACCCCCTAAAAAATTTAGGCCTCAATGAAGTATGAACCCATATTTCACAATCAACCCATATTATTCTTCTGACCCAAATACAGGAGAAACCTGTATTGAGCAGCGCTGCATTAAGTGGTCACCCTACCCTGTATTAGGAGGTCAGTTGTCAAAGTCCCCAATTTGTTTCTTCCTAATCACTGCAATTTTCACTTCTAATGAGCAAGTCACCTATTATAACCCCTCAATTCCCATGAGTGACCAAGACAGAATTTCTCCTTGCAGTATCAATACAATATCAAGCAGACAAGTGACGAGAATAAAGAAAAATATCAGTTAGGGGATTATAAGTTGATCCAATACCAAATTCTCCAAACTAACATCACAAGAACTGTATGGTAGACAGTAAGGAGAATTATTGGGAGTTACAGTGTTAAGCAGTCAAATTTAATTTTAGTGTGGTGCTCATTTAGGACATGTGTTTGATGATGGCCCAAGGCCAACAGGGAAGAGATACATGTACTGCAGAAATTCAGCTTCACTCAAATTTGACCATCCTTTACTGAGTCCCAACCCCTTGTTTGTATTGTCTTTCACCTGTACAGAACGGACTCTCAAAGGAACCACTCAAATGATAACAGTTTTTAACCCTTTAACTCCCAGATCAAATTTGTAATTTTCCTTTCTATCAACCATACAATTCTTCTAATGTTAGTTTAAAGGGAATTTAGTATTGGATCAATTTAGTATTTTTTTTTTTTTTTTTTTTTGATTGTTGTTTACAGTTGTGTAGTTATGACCATTTGCGGGGAAAAACGTTGATTATCCCCAAATTTTTTTTTTACGATCAACCGAAAACACCTACATTCTCTTTCTCCAGTCTTCCTCTATTCTCATCACCTAAAAGTCCTCGCGTGTCTTTTGCCCATGACCATTTGCGGATATTGTTTTTTCTGTTATGATATTCCCTCTTCTTCAGAGATTCCGCGGGGGAATTTTCCCCAAATTGATACTTTTCTTTATTCTCATCACTCGTCTGGTTGATATTGTATTGATATTCTAAGGAGAAATTTTGTCTTGGTCACTCATGGTAGTTAATGGGTCAAGGATATGGTCAGTTTAAAATTTTATGTTTATGTGATTTCTAACTGAATTTCTTGTTCCTTTTAATTTTAGTGTGGTGCCCATTTAGGACATGTGTTTGATGATGGCCCAAGGCCAACAGGACAGAGATACTGTATAAATTCAGCTTCACTCAAATTTGATCCTTCAAAAGGCAAGCATGATTAGTTTCTTCAAGTTTGTTTAAGCAGGAGGAGGATCTGGTCTTATATCTAGTTCCATGTCTCATATCAGCCACATGTTATCTTAAAAAATATAAATTATCCCTTTGAGAGACACTATGGTGTAATGGTTAGAAGGCTGTACTTTGGGTTGAGAGATGGGTGTTAGAGATCTGGCCAGGTTGATGTGTTGTGTTCTTTGGCAAAACACTTCCCTCTCACAGTGTCTCCCTCCACCAGGGAGTATAAACGGATAGCGGCAAATTGTCAGAGAGGTGTGATGAAATGCTGAGGAGTAAACTTGCAATGGAGTGGTATTCCATCCAGGAGGGAATCATAATACCCACAGTTCCTTCAGAGAAACATGGATAGGCTCTGGTTGGGTGGGCCATTTGACTCAATTACAATTTTTTTTATAAATTTATCCCTAACCATCATAACTGAAGCTGTAATCAGTTGTATAAAAAGATTTTGGCTTATTATACACGTAACTAGCTGATGTTTGGTGAAAGAGCCTTCACTCCCCTGAAAAGCAATCACCTCTCAGAAATAAATAATTAACATGAAACTTCTCCCTATAATATCCAAACTTTATCCAGCAAGCAGGTAATGAGAAATTATACTCAGACTTGTTGGGTAGGTGTTGTTAACTTCATCCAACAAGTTTCTCTGAACTAATTGCCAAGGGAATGTGCAGCAGCTTGAGTGACAAATTAATAATATTTTTTATCAGATCCTAGGGGCTGAAAGAGTTAACAACTTATTTTTTTTAACTCCTATTTATCCTTTCCCCTTCAGGTGCTGACAAAAATAAAAAGAGTGAATTGTAATGAAGGTCATAGTTTCAATAACTATGGTGAACCAGTTTTGTGATAGCATTAGTTAGTTATTCTTTTGTGATGGCTATGCAAAGTGCCATCTGATAATTAGTAGACTTAGTTTGAATTGTATTTGAAAACTGATGAAGGATATAAAATTATTTTGGAAGAAATAAACTGATTTAAGTTATGATTTGATGGCTCCTTTTTTCTAAACTTCATTGTGGTTCATTAACATGCAATCAAGTTATAATTAGGCAATTGTATGATGTAAACTCTGAAGCATTTAAGATCTGGATATCTAGATTCTCCCCACTTGCTGATTTGTCCTTCAATTCTACTAGCCAGTTTGTTGAAGAATCTATCCAAACTGTGGGGAGAACTTACACATTGATCACTACAGGGAGTTTGACCCTTTAACCTTTTAATTCCCACTGGTGACCAACACAGAATTTCTCCTTAAACTATCAGTACAATATTAAGCAGACAAGTGATGAGAATAAAGAAACATTTCAATTAAGGAATTATTGTTTGATTCAGTATCAAATTCTCTGAACTAACATCAGAATAATCATATGGCAGACAGTAAGGAGAATTACTAATGAGACTGTGGGAGTGAAAGGGTTAAAATTTAGACTGCATTCTGGTGATGCAAGTGTCACCAACTAAAAAAGTGTCACCAACTAAAATGCTCAAGGAAATGGGGCAAGACTACATTTAACCCAGGAAATGCCTAGAAGTGATTAACATTAAATTTTCCTTGTGATTCCAACAATTATTTTGATCAACCCTTTCACTTCCAGATCAAATTTGTGTTTCTTCTTACTGTCAACCATAAAATTCTTATAATGTTGGTTCAGAGAATTCAGTATTGGATCAACTTATTATCCTTAAATTAATATTTTTCTTTATTCTCATCACTTATCTGGTTGGTATTGTATTGATATTGTAAGGAGAAATTTTGATTCGGTTACTCATGGGAGTTAAAGGGTTAAGAAACACTGTATTCATGGTGCCCCTCTCCACCCAGGGGTACAAGAGGTGCCAGTATCAAAGGACTTTTACGAATCTCCTTTGCAGCCATTGATTGGCCTTCTTTCTTGACACACTTCCTGCCTTTTTTCTCCTTTTCATTTTCACAGTAGAATGAATAACATCTTTCTTTGTTTCAGCTGTAGAATTAATTTTAACAACCAAATCACTGTAGACTACAAGCAGTCCTACCCTTCAGCAAAGTCTGTCATGAAAATTGACATTAGTGTGCCACAGGAAGCTCCTGGAGTGATGTTGATGCACTGCAGGAGCTCCATGAATGAGGTGCTCTAAAATACTGACAAATGTCTGAGGTGGTTTTTATTTTTGGCTTTTATTTTTTCCATTTATTTGTATGGTTTTACATAACAAAGTTAAAACCTGGAAGAATTAACAACAAGGTCTCCTTTTCAATAGGAAACATGCTTTCTCTTGTGCTTTTCAATAACAAGCAAACTCAGATGAGTTCAAAATCACTTCTCTAATGCTACCATGTAATGACCATTTTAGAGACTTCCAAGAGGTGCAATTTTAATATGTGTGGTTAAACAAGGCCCATTCCTGTGTTCTAATAAGAGAATTTGTTTGGTCCTTCTTTTTGATCTGTGCTACAGAACAAGAAGCTGGGACATTAGATTGTTTTGTTTACCCAGTCAGGACTCACAGGGGATCATTATTAAGGAAAAAAATTAAATAATGAAATAAAAATTCCTTCCATGCATTTACTAGTTTGTTTAGCTTTTCTGGAGTTTGTATGGTGAAAGTTTTAAGTTAGCTACATGAAAATAAAGAAATTGATAGAAGTTGACAAAATTTGCTATTTTCACAATATTTATATATATATATTTTTTCATCATACCCCATTCACACCAGCAAAACATTTTAGTTAAACTGGTTTTAACTGAATGAAAATCAGAAACAGAGGACTGAAAAACTGAATTTTCCTTGAGGATTCAGGTAATCACCAACTTGAAAATGGTATGGTTGAAGGCCACAAACATTGGTGCAAGCAGCTTCAATGGATTAAAAAAAAGTTGTTAACTCATGGTCAACAAAACAGCTTAAAAACATGTCTAAGCTTTGGTGTGAATATGGGAGAAGTCATGTCTTCTTCTAAACACAGTTTTAGAGGAGAATATACTATTAATATTGAATGTGGGCCATTGGAAACAGCATTAGTTTGAATTTAAACTTCTATGGTAATTCGTTATTGAAAAATACAGCAAAATCAATGATAGAAAATGATTTAGCTGACAATAAACACTTATGTTTAAACTCATTTGACCATTAGAAGGCCTACTTAACTTTTATGAAAAGTACTTAACATACAAGACATTCAAGTACTGTTAGTCACCTTTTGTGCAACCAAACACAAAGCAAACAAGCAAACAAAAACAACCCAACTGTAACAGATAGTTTCAAATTTTAAGTATACTCTTTAACTCCTAGAAGTGACTTGACATCGATGGAATACCATTGATGCAAAATTTTCATTTTACCTAATAAAGAATCAGGACAGTGGACATTTTAAAGACCTTCTAAACTTCACTGCAGATAAAACATGATGAAGCCATACCATTGGCTAGAACATGACAGGGTGAAATTCAATCATCACCTTGTTTCACCAGTTGAACTTGTAATGGTATGGCCACCACACTTCATCAGGGTTAATAATTAAAAAAAACTGTTGATGACTAAATTTTTAATGTTCTACTTTAAATTTCAAAACTGAAAAATTTGAATTCATGTATGTGTTAAAAGTAAGGAATCAATGTCAGTATCTGAGCAACAGTACACCTACCTCTCCCCTAACCCAACATTAACCCCAAGTTGTTATCAGTTAACGGCTGTTGGATTAGGGGAGGGGTGGGTCCACTGTTCCTCTGAGACTGGAATTGCTCCAAAGTAAAAATTAGATTTCTACGTCAGAATGCATGGATAATGATTATCATTATAATTTCAAAATGTTAAAATATGTACACATGGTATAGCAATACACAACAAATATTTTAATTCTAACAGCATCACATTTGGCAGATTTGCAATGCAAGCATCTTTGCTCAAATGTCAATGAACTTGACAATCAATATAACATCAAACACATTAAGATTCCCAAAGAATCTAAGTAGATATTTTAGACACCACACTGATGTCAACCATAATCTTTTTATACTTCAGCCATTAGCTTAGCAAGTGAGCATGTGGAATATTTCCAGAGCTTTGCAGCAAACTATTATATACTATAACTTTTACTTTATACAAATATTAATTTCATTGCATCATTACCAGTAGTGCATAAGTTGCAGAGTTGTAGGATAATTACTATGATATAATTATTTGGTGTAATGGAAAATTTTGTAATAAAATTATGAATGTCTTATATTTACTTGGGTCAAAATAACATCTAATGTACTGCTCTCTAGCTAAATATATATACTTTTGATAGCCTACTTTCCATACACCACTGAGTCAAAATAACACTGTTGGTGTCCAATTTTCATCACACCTCTTTTATACCTTCCAACCTCAAGAACACACAAGCATTAGTCAATCTGTCAACAACACAGTCAATCAATGTCATCACTGTCAAATAGATCATCTGGTGGAACAATGTCAGTTGCAATTGGTGCCGTCACAGATGCTGTTGTATCATTGGTCAATGTTTGATCTGTAGTGGTATTAACCATGGTTGGAAGTTCTAAAGTTGGATTTGCCTGGAAGAGAAGACATAGCTTGGCATAAAAATACAACTACATGAAAATATGAACAAAAGTTACGACTTTGGCTTGTTTTCAGTGCAGAGATGAGTCTGGTAATACAAGTAGCAACTTGTTCTGGAGAGATCAAAGGAAAATTTTTCTTTGAATGTAATTATGCTAACTCTACAAAAAATTAATGTCAGCTTAAAAAATATGCTTCCAAGAATTTGGACAGTATTTGTTTGACTGTTAGAATGAAACTAAAATTTTCCATTAAGAAGTCCTGAAATTTGTGAATTTACCAAACTTTCCTCTCAATTACTTTCCAAAACCATATCCTTGACAAACAAGCAGTTATTTATTTTTTTTAAGTGGAGATGTTTGACATTAGTGAAGGAGGACATGTAAGCGGAGCCCTTGATTATGGAAGGGGGGGGGGGCAGAAGTGAAAGTGGTATGGGAGATGAAAAAGGAGAGGGTACTCCTGTGCCCCTGATTTTGACATGAGCATTACTCACATTCTTCCTTGGTCTTCCTCTGCTTCTTTTTGGTTGAGATGCATCAGGAAGAGGCTGTAATATGATTAGAAGTTACAAAGAAAAAGAATTATGTTGCTATGAGATCTACCAGCCAAATGAAGAAGAGCTTAAACTGCATTAAGTAAACCCCAATATTCAAGAGACACCATGTAGTAGCTAGGCAGCTGACAATTCAAGTCCCATTATACAGGAACGCTTGGGGCAGGGTTGGGATCTGATTTGCAAGGAACAAAGATGCTTGTACTATCATCCAAGGAACAATTCACTGATTTTGGTTTTGCTACCTCAGTTCAGGTGGGCATCAGTGGTTCTCGACAAAAGAGAGATTATTTATCAAGCTTGAGCCTGTCTGAGGTGATGACTTCTGAGTTTCTCTGCAAGTCTGTCTGTTCATGTATTTCTAACTAAGGCATGTGATATGAACTGAAATTATAGGGTGTGCAGGGTATATGTTATAAGGTATTTTTTGTGCTTAGTTTCACATAAAGTAAAGTAGTTTATAGAAACATAACAGATTGTTCTGAGTGTTAGACTGATTACTAATGGTAATTTATTGAACTAAGAGCCCAATGGAATTTGATCTGAAATTACTTGTATGAATTTCAATTACTACTGATTTATGACCATTTTGAAATTGCAAAATTTAACTGCTCAAACACAGTATTATAGTCAGAGAAATTATTTAATTATCCAGCACTAAACCCATTGGTTAAAAAAAAAAGTGGAAACAGGAACACTTTTACAATGGCTCCCTTGTTTTTCACTTCCCTGCAATTTCACAAGTTAATTTAAACAAGTCATGAAATATAATTGGTCATTTCGTTTTGGTGTCACTCTCTTATTGGCTAGGAAAAGGATGCAATTTAGAGCAAAAAATAGTGCAACTCATGAATAAATTGCATTGCTGATAGCTGATCAGATTGCAAGGATAAACAGAAAAATTCATGTGAATGATAAAGGGTCTTTCCAGTAGATTTGTCCTACCCATTTTCTAGGTCTTCCTCTTGGCCTCTTTGGTCCTGTTGGAACTGGTTTTGGCTGTAAAATGGAAAAAAAAATTCGCTTCAGTTTTGAGGCCTTCAAACTTTCTCCTAAAATGTATCCATCCATCTAATCAGAGTTTTTCTGTTTTCCACAACAACTTCATTGAATGAGTGATGTAAAGATAATTGTTAAGGTGTGTACATAAGAGAGTCAGAAGGATAGAGAAGTAGTTGTGGTGTCTAGGGCTAATGATAAAATGATAAAGTCTGTACTGGGGCCAAGTTGGCTGCTGCCCACCAAACATGACACAAAGACCTGGCTACATCTTAAACCTGAACCTCTAGTGTGATCTAGAGACCAGCCACCACAGCATATATGTATAGGGGAAAAACCGACACCACTCTTATAATTGTCCTAATTTCCTTGGGATTCAGATTAATAACAGAGCTGGCAGAGCGTAGCCCCATAATTAAACAAAATACTAGTAACCCATCAAGCCAAAAAAATTTGGATGTATGACCGCATGACTGTACGACCATACAAGGTGCTACTTTTAACATGCGTGGTCAACTGTACCGCGGGCATACCAATGCCATGGCTTTGTTCAGTAGTCCAGTGGTCAGTGCACTGGGCTCCAAGTCGGACCACCCAGGTTCTAGTCCTAGCCAGGGCAAGGCATTGTGCCCTTGAGATGTGCAGGAAAAAAAAAAGTGCGAGTTCCACTTTTAGGCTTAGCTAAATCTATATTATCTCGTATCACAAACTGCATGGCTATAAAAATGTAAAAATGCATGGCTATATCCTATACCAGTTCATTTTTTTCAGGATTTATAAAGGAATTTGAGGTCTTGTACCCCTATGTTGATGAATTTTTCTCTAGTTTTATTTCTCTTTTTCCTTTTTCTTTTTACAATGAATAAGATTTGGTAATCAATGTTGATGCAATATTCTAGTCCTGATGAAAGGGTTAAAAACACTACAGCCAATGATAAAAGTATATATTTTCAATAGGGGAATCCTTTATTAAGCTTGTTTTGATGAGAAAAATACTTAATAATGAGTTTCAGCAGACACACCTTGTTAATTACAGCTGGTAATGAAATGATAGGTTTACTCAAATCTTAGAATCTTGCTCATTGGCTGATAATTGGAAACATTAAAGCCTGAAGAAATCTTTCCCAACTAAAACAATGCACATCTACATCATTCAGCTTTCTAGTTTTTTGAAATTATCCAAATGTATAAATGTGGAGCGCCTTTGTACAAAGCTGTAATGATAATGGTGTCTTCTTTGATACAAGTTGTTTTCCTAATTGAAAGCAACACTTGAGAATATAAAAGCATTTTAACAGATTTGAGAGCTTCCTGCTCAGTCAATAACCCAATTACAAGGCTCATTGCATGTGTTATTTATATTTCATCAATAGGGTATTTGAATAAGGCAGAAACAGCTGTTGTAGGTAATCAGCTTGTGGACCAATCCAACATGTTTTTGCTGTTGTGAAATAAGTTATGGGAGGTACAAAGAATGCTAATCTACCACATTTAGCATATATTTTTATGTTGTCGTGGTGAATATGGCATTATGGTCTGTTGTATAGTTAGGGATGAAGGATACTGTAGACTTCTTTAGAGAATGATAAAAGTAAGCTAACCTTGTGAACAGGGTGTTAAACATGCAAAATTGTGAGCAATATCCTAGATAAGTTTGAGGAGCAGAGGAACATAGGAAAGACTTTCTGAGGGCCCAAGAACTCTAAGGAAAATTTAGTTTACATGTGGGTGCATGTTATATCAGCTTTGCAGATGGTAGAAATTTCAAATTGTCACAGGGAACAATAAACATGGTCCTCTTCTTCTTTCCCGCCTAAACCCTTTACACCCTAACATCAGTATGCATATTCTCCTTACTGCTCTTTATACATTTCCTAAGGTGCTGACAAGGAGAATTTGTTTGGTGATCAAAAGCTTCTTTCCTTAGTGATCATTCCCTTTATTCTCATGACCTTAATGTGTGATTCTGGGATGATATTGTAGGGAGAAATTTGAGGTTAGTCACTCTAAGGGTTTAGAGGGTTAACCTCGGATCTGACCAGGACGGACCCACATCAAACCAAAGGTTTCTCCTCAGTTTCACTTTGTCTTCATTTTAGCTTGGCTTTGTATTATTGAGGTGAATTAAAAGTATATCAGACTATGAGCATTTTTGTCTATCTCTACTCCTTCTTCTTTTTTCTCCTTTTCTTTCTTTTCATCTATTTCTTCTATCATCTGTTACCTACATTTCTCAGATCCTTAATTTCCAATTGAAAGGCTCAGAGCAAGAACGATCCCTTGATTTTTCGGCCATTTTTGAAAGTGTTCAGAAGTAGTTGAATTTTGGCATGTGGACTGAAAAATCAATGGCCGAAAAATCAAGGGATCGTTCTTGCTCTGAGCCTTTCAATTATTTCCCAAAGATTTATGATCAAAAGAGCTTACAATTTTATAACTGATCATAAACGATCCACCAATCATACATAAAGTGTGGTTTTCAAAAAGACACCTTTTTTTAAGCCACTCAAGGAAAATGAATCTAGACTAAGCTAAATCCACCCCTTTGATTGTAGACATCTACATCTATCAAAAAAAAAAAAAATAACCCTCTCCCTATGGACATATTGCCCACAATTACTCATAACAAAAAAGGTCAAAATAGACAAAGACTGATGCTACACCCATTTGGCATCCAACTCTGAAAATTTTAAAAGGACCCAGACATCAATCTTTTTGCTATTAGTTCTTTTTTTCAGCTTTGCATGACTCACAGAGGTTTTTTTGTCAAGTGTTGTCCAAAAATAGCTTGTCATTGACCTCATATATTTATAACAACTGTCAAAAACAGCCTTCATTAAATCTTATGGCCATGTGGTTGTATAATTATTTAAAATCACCAACCAATAATAACAAATAAAACCAACATTCAGTGAAAGAGATTGTGCAATACTAGTTTCTCAAAGGCAGTGAATTTTTTTTTAAGGTTAACTAATGAAAATATTCATGTACCTTGATGCATTTATTTTCCATTTCTATTTTTATTTTTGATTTTATTAGTCTCTATGGAGGAAAGGTGACACCAAATGTATTTATAAATATGCATGTTTCTATAGAAAATTACATTGGAAATTATTCCACCATCAAACTATCAGGTTAAGAAAAACGAAAATTTTCATGACTTGGGTTTATATACGTTGCAATTTCTAATCAAGTTTTAGAAAGTTGGTCCTATTTAGCATTTATGATTACTTAACGTCGATTTTTGGTGATGTTTTTCAAATAAGGAGTGATTAACCGTTTGAATTGGCCGTAATATGAAAGAAATCGGAACAAAATTAAAACAGGAAGACTCCTCAGAGCAACCTCCATCTCATGGCAGCTGCAGTGCAGAACTTGAAAAGTTGACATTGTTGACAAAATTCAAAGAAAGCCTAGGCAAAGTTTCTTTTAAAGCAATGTGTCACCTGCAATGTATACCCGGCTGTGGGATTAAAAATGATTAAGCGATATCTCTAAATTGTTTTCAAATTTGTCCCGATTAGCATATCAAGTGGGTGGCCGACCGGAGACGATGAAACCGTGAATTTAAAAAATCTGAACTCTGAAGCGTGTGATCCGTGCAAACGCAGGGACACACACGAACAAAAGTTATGTGTTTTTTTTCCTCAGGTACCTCACTGCAATTGTTCACCAAAACAACATTAGGCAAGAATTAAACAGAGATAATAAAAGTGTTTCTTTGCTCTGCTTTGTTGTCTTAACGTTCTTTCCAGCGAAACAAAGGACGAAAGCGAAAGGTACTTTCCTGCGGTTTCCGGTGTGTATTTGAAAATAGTACTTCGAAACTTCACCATTCGTTTAAAACTTCCAGCACAAAGACGGTCCGAGTAATTTTCGTGAAATTGAAAAAGAAATCGAGAACACCAACGCTTTCAAACCGATCATGAAATTCTATCGATGAAACCGCGTCGAATGCACGTGTTCCTTAAGAGTAAACGTCAAGTGTCTACTACCTCAAATGTAGGAAGTGTTATGAACGAGGTGTTTTGCAAAATCATGAAAAAACAAAAAATCAGCGGATGGGGCAAAACTTCCTTTTTACATTCATTCAAGACTTTTTCTTCCGAAAGTCACTCGTTGATCAGCGATTTCAATGAGCGATCACTTGGTAACTACGGTGTACAATGTTTGTATTACGTATCACGAATCCCACGTGAAAAAAATCAATTTATGAGGGACACATTTTCATACGCCTTCTTATCGCTAAACGAATTTCCAATCGACTACCGCTTTAGAGTAGGAAGTTATAACCCACTTTTACATCCGCGTAGGATTGCAATTCTTTCAGCGCGTGGCAACGGCGTTCAGTTTCAGCCCTAATTCCATTGATTTCCACTCGATTTTCCACGATAATTTTATCGTTTCTTATCGGGCACAGAGCCAAGACTTATCCCACAATATCACAGTTGTGGACCTTTCATAGTGTCTGTGTTTTCCGATCTAAGCCACTACACACATTGTGCAGATGTGGAACAAAAGATCCTTCACAAAACACTCCAAAAAAAACCGCGCACGTGGAAGTTCTTTATTACGATGTCATTGAAAGACGGTGCTCCAACATGGCGCGCTAATATTTTTCCCGCGAAAACAACAGCTACAACACGTGCTGCATCGCGAAACACGCACGCATGCGTCGCTGGAAACCTCACGTGATTTATGGGTGTACTGCAAGAAACTATGCAGAGAATTTCATGCTTTGAGGAACAGACGATCGCGAAAAGTTTTACACACGGGTTTTAATTACCGGAAGTTGAGTAAAAGGAAAGTAAATTCTCGATAACATTATACGCAAAGCGAACGAGAGTGCACTTAGCGAGTGCTTGGCGGCCGCGAGACTTTCGTGTCTCAGGGAGTACTTCGGTACCTCTACTTAGTGATGCTTAGCACGCATAACTAAGTTATTATGCACCACAGTTGTAAACATTGAGAGTACAATGCGACTGGCACTTGTCTTTCTGCATTATTAAGCACATCACAATAGCGTGTTCAACGGAAAAACTCATGTGCAAAGTTACATTTATTTGGATTGGCACCAGAAACGACGAAAAACAACTCCCAGATGCGCAATTTTTACAGCGAAGCACCGAAAAATTGGGAACCGGTCCGTACTCAAACTGTCGCACCAAAATTTCTGCGCGCAACATCACGGGACAGCGGAATAATTTTTCGCTCAAGGACAACAATCTGAGCCAAAAATATTAATAACAAAACATGCATAACACAGATTCTATAGCAATACAATAACTTATATGAAGCACGCTGCTGTAAGAATCGAAGTTAACGCACAATATTGGCGTACAGAAGGCAGGAAAAATTTACCATCTACAAAATATCATACCTTGGGATTTTTATTTTTGGAGCCTTTCGGTCGCCCTCTGGGCCTTTTTATCACGGGTGTACCATCGTCCTCAGGCTTCTGCGGTGAAAAAGTTAACAAACATTTACCATTGATATTTAAGCTGCGCTAATTTTAGTCCTTGCCAAATGACCTCATATTCTCTTATATGACCCTACTGCATGTTCCGAAATTCGCCACCATGATCGGAATGAGGCAGCTCCGTAACACGTTACATTTGTTTACCACACACTACCTCGGCAAAGTTCTTTCGCGGCCTTCCTCGTTTGCCTTTCCTGGGCACTTCCGTTGCAGACAACGGCTTTTCATCCTGAACAAGTTCGTTCACCGTTTCCTGTGTTCCTTCCGTCGAAGAGTCCTTAGCGCTGGTTTCATCTGTTCCCGTGCTAGGCTCACTCATGGTGCGCGCACTTGAAAAATAATTTTAGTGCCGTGCGCGCGACGCTTGAATGAAACCTTTGCCCGTGCGCTTTGAATTTTTAGGACCCCGCCTTGAGATGTTGTAATCGCCTTGGAATTTTTTCCCAATATGTCGATGAAGCGAGAAGCGTGGGAGTTTTAAGTTCCTCTTCCCTTCCCCAATCGCAATAATTCGCATTTGAGGCGCTATGCTAAGTTTACGCTGTTGTTGTCTCCAACACAAATCATTGGCAAATTTACTATCGTGTGGCTCTACGCTAATTGACTAATACAACTTAGTAGCGTCGTTGTGATTGGCTCTCACGTGATCCATTGTCAGTTATACCCGCGCAGTTTGTTTCGCACAAGAGCCAAGACCACCCTCTTGCCTTTGAAAACGCCGACTGATTGACGCGCGACCAAAGCTACCGGAAATGAAATCAAATAAAAAAATTCGTTGGGTTGCTATAGGCTTTGAGTGCAGGCATTTTCTTCTGCACTTGCCCATTCGTTTAACTTTTCCCGCGAGATGCAAAATTAATCGAGAATGGGCCGATCTTCCCGAAAAAACAGAATTTAATCCAAGGCGCACGGCTGTGACAAGTTTACGCAGAGTTTCCGTGAGGCCTTCCCGATTACGCCGGCCGTAATGAGAGGTCGGAAAGAGCAGCATTCCAAGAACTTCCTTTGGATTTCATTATCTTCAAACCTCAAAATTTCTCGCGCCTTCAGGACCAGTTGGTCTAGGGGTCGGCCGCGTATTTTATCATAACAACAGCATTCAGGTCACTACTTAAGGAATTTTGAACTCGATCCCCTTAAGAAAGTAACCGTCACTCGGAAAAAACAACAACAGTTTAACGATTTATCTGTTGATAACAGGTGACAGAAACGCACGAGAAACTTGTTAAATTACTTTATCAGCTATTTATTACCCGAAGACACGAAAGGGAAGAACAAAAAATGATAAAATTCGGCCTCCAATATAGTAAACAGGATTTAAAACTCTTTTACTGTGATACATTGGGCACCGATTACAAAACTGTTAAGTTTGACAACATCACTGAAGTAAGAATTTTGAAGATGTAACATGCTTAGATGCGAAATGAGATCCCCAGACCATTTAGCATTCATCGCCTAAGCCTATTTTTACAGTTTGTTGACTAAATCCAGAACATCGGAGGTGAGGATGATGTCACGGGAGAGGGACAAACACCAATTTTAGATTGCATGCACGAGGCAGACGTAGTAAAGCAACAATGAACGAGTAAACATACTTTACAGAAAGTAAGCGTTGACAGTTTAAGGCTACAGGTTTCGGAAGTGAAAAAACAACCGCTTTTCCGGTACAAATACACAAACACTCAGGGTTGTTACATTTTTTGCTGACTAACTGGAAACATGTAAGCTTCTCGTATATTGAAGCTCTCTGCGATTCTCTTGAGAAGTTAATGAAAACTTTTTGCTGCTTTAAAACTGTCTCAAAGTTAGCTCTTCGTGACATTTCTGCAACCGGTGCAGAATTCCGCTCGTTCTTAACCTTCAGGTGAACGTTTATGAAAAGACGTCCCCATATCTAGGGAACAATGTTGGACACAAGCCAACACGGCTCGTTGTAAGCGTTAATCTTTAGAAGGGGGACTGAAATTTTCTAGAAGCGAGTTCATTGAGGCGAGCAACCAAAGTTTGCTAAATTAAAAGTTTACTTGCCGATCAAAGCCGTGAAAGCCATTAAAATATGTCGTTAAGCTGAAAAAAGGCTTTACCATGGTACAAAATCTACACCCAGCAAGGTGACACTGATATTTAGGGTTAATATCTTAATCTTAGAGGAGAGATTCAATTCCGGGATTTTTTCGTTACAATCCTGCATGGCCTCTTTAGTGAAAACTGAATTACGCCAGTTCTGGCAATATCTGGAGATGACGAAGCAGAATCTGGCAGCTGAGCTGTCGAATGTTCGAGAAGGAATGCCTTATTGCGAAATTTTCGTGAAATTCTTGGCGAGGTTATCCCACATCTAACTTGCCCTACCCTTGAAGAGTGATGCATTTCGAAAGGTTTCTAGAGCCTTCGCTGTTTCTATTTGCATTGGTTTCACAATTGCTTGCAACTGTTACTCATCGCATATTGAGTAAGACCTAGGGAATTCTCTGTGCGGTTATCTCGGCCCACCCGAGCGACAAAAGATAAAACATACAGGGGAACAGAGGATGCACCGTTAGTTTCTGTATTGCCGTTTGTTGTGAGTTCCAGTCAACTTCCTTGTTCAAATGACGTTGAGTTTTTCAGTTCGTAAAAAGATTTCAAGCGTGGATTTTTGTCTAGAAGACCGGCGTTGATGCTTCTAATCTGCATTGAGAAGAAAGACTTTGGTTGAAAAACCTGGAACATGCGCTTTCCTAATCAGTTGCTAAGTTAGAAGACTGGGAAGTGCACACTTTGACATTCGAAACACAAATTTAAATAACTCTTTCTAGGGTAGGACGATTAAAAAGGTCTACTTACATTTCATTACAATTAGATAATCATTATGCTGTTGTTGTCAACTTCTTTCTGAAATGTCCTTCTAAACGATCGCTTTTTCTATACAGCAATAATTTTATAATCTGTTCGGGGTTGTGGGCAAGAAATATCTCCTTCCCACGACAATTACTCAGTTTGGAAAAGCTTCCTCCAGAGCAGTAAAACAAGTTTTATAAACATTCATTTCCCCCCATTTTTCAACAGAGGGCATTCAACTGGTTTCTCGTCGAGTTAAATTCCCCGATGATGCACCATACTTACTAATTGAAACAGAAACATACTAAGCATTGTTAACGGTACAACACACACTTTTTTCCTTCCGCCATGTTATTCACACTATGAGTGCTAAATTGAGTTTAAATATATTTCAAGGATCTACGCTGTCAAGCATAGAAATATTGGATACAGCTGTTTCTTTGTTTTTTGTGTGTTTTGCTTTGTTCTACAGTGACTCCGAGTATTTCACAGGAAATACATGGCTACTGTAATAGTTAACTGTACTTTCAGAAAATAACCTGAATTTTGATCAATAAAGTCACATGCTGGGGAAATTCATGTGTTAAACAACGACTATAGCTTTACTTTTCAGGCTAGTTTCTCCTGCTCAAAGAGACAATTTTAATCAGTCACAGTTTGTACCAAATGCAACAAGAAAATTGTGAAGTATCTCTTTGGTGGTATTCAGGAAAGTTTCAAGTCATCCCATAGCCAAAATAAACGCCACTACATGAGACAAACAACTGCCATTCGTGTGCGGGCAGCATTAAAATAATTCCCTCTCTGTTCCATTAATTTGGGTATCTCCTGTTCCGATGGAGTTGGTCGTAAGTTCCAAGAACAGCATGCATAATTGCAGTGATTCCATGGTATTTTTTAAAGATTCTCCAGACAAAAATTCGTTGCTCTAATATGTTGGGTGCGTTTCCTCCAGATATAAAAAGCTGAGCTGTGATCACATTGTAGACAATACATACATTGAACCCCAAACTAAATAAATAGAAAATAGACAAACAGATATGGAAAAAACTGACTACCGCACGCTGTTTTTTTTAGAAAAAAAAAACCGACACATTTCCCTCATTTATCGAGTAAAAGTTCCTTACACCGTCTTGATTTTCCGAAGGAATTGCAGTTGAAGACTTCTGCAGATTTGAGATCTCCCTGGTAGAGGATCTACTACAGTTTATAAACATAAAATATAACGAAATGCAGAATCATCGACGATAGACACTGAATTGCTACACTAAAGAAAAAAAAAAAAGAGTGAGATGCTTTAGAACGTTCTCCATAAGGAAAGAAACAAACTGGATAAACCAAAAGGTCAGACATCACATCGATCCTTAATGGTTGACACACGACAAATGTAAAAATAGCATTCGAGAACACTCTTTTCTATAGCATCTGAGTAAAGCAACATTTAACCTTTGTTCCAAAAAATGAGGGATTCCAAAACGATAAAAACTCCCTTTAGGACTTATTGGATCAGGCAAAGCTTGATTTCACAGTTCAAACAAATCTGTCTTTCTGATAGTAACTTTTAACAATTCTTGGTTTAAACTGATTGTAGTTGTATTTACTAAACCGTTTTCCTCTCTGTCCAGGGAACAGTAAACAAGAAAGCTCTTTTAAGACAGCGTTTCAAAAACCACAAATTGAAAATATCTTAAGAACTATTTATGGTAAAAGTTGAAAATCATTCTCGAGAACGTTGCAAAGAAGAAGTTGTAACTAAAACGTTCACCCCATGATTGTAACAATGTACCAATTACAAAGCCTTTGAAATCTTCGCTTTTATTCAGAGGCAAGAAGCTTGAACTTTGAGAAAGATCTCCTTGACGGACATTCATAAAGTTTGCTTTGACGAAAATCACAGACCGAAGTTTCTTAAATTATTGAGAAGAGGCTATAAATGTCCTGTGTTTCACAAGAATTAATCGTATTATGAAAAGATTGCCAAAGTTTCTCAACCCTGATCGTCTGGGAGGTGACTTATCAAAGCTTCTTTCAGCTTGCTAACGACGTTAAACTATTGAATCAATGGTCTCTTTGCAAGATTAAGAACACTGGCTTCACAATTATACACTTTCTACCTCATTCAAAACAGTCCAGAAGTAATTTTGGTTGTTCAAATGATTACAGGGTCTGAGCAGCGAAAGATTCTGACAGGGTTTGGACAGCTAATAAAGTGGAAGCACCTTCACAAAACATACAGCGGAGTTTTTCATATTTAATGATATGTTTTGGTTTGTTTTTCTGCCCAAAATCGAAAGGGTAGTTCTTGAATCTGTTGATGTCTAAAAGAGAACACAGTCTTCCAAAATTGTACTCATAAGAAGTTTATACTTTCATTGCTGTATAAGTTTAAGGATTATGGAAAGAGACACAGAAATCTGTCAACCTAAAGCTCTAAATTGTATCCATTCATAAATTATGGAGTAGTACTTTCAAATGGAACTGTCTGTTATGTTGTAAGCAGTGGCTCTTTCTTTTAAGTGTGTGGATAAAACCTCTGCGTGTGACCATTCATAGGAAAGCTACTGAGCTGTCCTTTGATCTAGAATTGTATTATTGATTCTATACTGTACAAGCTGGTTCTTTCTGTCTGTTTTTGGGTTAACCCTTGCGTGTGACCATTCATATGAAAGCTACTGTGCAGAAATATCATATGATGCTGCTTGCTATACTGTAAAGTTGGTTCCAACTCTAAAGTCCTAAATAAACCTCAATATGTGACTGTTTGAATGAAACTAAGAGACTGGCAATATTTTCTTTGTGGTACTGTATTCTGCTTTTCGAAGTGTGATTCTCTTACATGTTTCTATGTCTATCACCCACCTAAGTTTGGCTGGGAAAATTAAACAAATAAGCCTTCGGGTTTTTCATGAAACTGGGTGTGATTTTTCACAAAAACTTAGTCTAAAGCAGTAAGTTCTTGTTAGGTGTGCATCGGATATGCATGCAAGAATTCTTCAAAATTTCTGGTCCTTCAAAACAATTCTCGTTTATAGCTCTAAATTGCTAATAAAGGAAGGCTTTTTAACTAATATGTTCATGAGATAGTGCGAGTTAATTAAATAATTTTTACATTAGTTACAAATGTAAAACTAGGACACAACTTCTTTTTTCAAGTAGGTTACATCATTGTTCATTGTTTCCTTAATTCAAATGAGCAGATTGCCTGGTGAAAATAGTCTTCTGTATGAACTTATTGTACAACTCTTGCTGGGAAAACATCAAAACACATTGACCCCCAAAAATAAACCGACAATTTACCTATCAATAATATAACATTACAGCTTTTGTATTCGCCTTTGAAACCATGGATATTTCGCTTTAGCCATTGCAACTGTTTCCCCGTGATTTCTTCGAGAATCTCGTCAAAATAATTAGAAAGTACAGGTGTATTACGATGCTGTAAATGTTAAAATAAGTCGAATGGACACACAATCTGTTGATTATTTTCTAAGTTGCTGTGCAGATATCGCGAAAATATGTCGATTTCACGTTCTTGGCCATCATTTTAAGAACCGTGAGAGAATCTTTGTCCATAATTGGTTTAAGACAGTTACATCCCTTTTGCACCAAGCTTTGCCAAGTTCAAGAAGGTCAGCTTTCATTATTTAATACCCTTAGTTTATAAATTCAAACAGATTAAAAATAGAATGATACCAAAGTAAAGAATTTCCTTAATCAAGAATAAGACTTAATTTAAAATCAAATCGTGCCAAACGTTGCCATGAAAGAAGAAAGTTTTCCCCTTAAGAAAACTAAAGATGTGCTGAAATAGTTTTTGAATTCTGTCTCTAGTTTTCATCCATCAATTTTTTGTTTTGTTTTGTTAAATCACTTTTATTCTTTATGTCAGTAATGTTTGGTTTTCGTTTACGCCATTGTTTGAAATTAATTTCTACTTGCATGTTTCGTCGTGTTTATACCAATAATGGTTAAAAGGTGGTATCTTGTTTCACATCTAAAGATATAAATACTGCTATATAGCAATTCAGGCTTATAACCACTTGAATATTGAACAACGTGAAGCTTATGACAATACAGCTTATGTTGTAGACCTCGATATAAGAAATAAAATGAATTTGACTCGGTCAAAAATTGAGCTTTTATCTAAAGAGCTAGTGAAGATAATTCGCTCCAAAACTTTACCAAGTCCTATGCAGACTAGCTTTGACTTCAATCGCATCAATTACTCGTGTGGCAAAGAAGAATATAAAACTAAAGGCTTAAAACAAAGCGATGGTGAAATGATACATTAAAACAACCTTATGCACACCACACAGAGATCAACGCAGCTTTTGTAAGGATCTCTTGCGTAGCCCCCAGTTCAACATATAGCAAGGAGCTCCTCGTAAAACTAGGATTAATTCTGCACTTCTATTCCATGGCAAGTACATACAAGATCAAAACTTTCTACATAAAACAACTTATGTTTAACTACCACGCAGTAAGCTTTTTATTACGGTTAATGTGAAGGCAAACTAGCACTTAAAGTCGTATATTTATCAGTAAAGCTTGCATGATTACTACGGTTTGCTATCAAACTCCGCGCGGGCGAAATATCATTACAGCATGCTAATCTAGGTAGATTACTTTTACATCCCACACTCTCTGTCAATTCGGAAAAGCACTCGGGCCTTTTAAGGCCAGATATTTCTCATTTGCAAGAATATAACACATATAGCTGCTTTTGAGTGAATTACGGCAGCTGTGAATCTTCCCGTTGGGATCTGAGTTGTACATGGCTTAAAATTGGCAAGTATGGTTTGCAGGTCTTAAAGTTGGCAGGAAAAATTCAAATAAATGGCTATGAAAAGTGCTTTCATTTCCTATTTTCTCCCTTAAAAACAAAAGCAAGATTTCGCGTGAGTAATACGAGTTACCTCAGGTGATTCCATGTTTCCGCCTCGTACCCCCCTGGTGAACAGCTTGCACGAGAAGTTTTTCCTAAATATTTTTTACACATTTAAGCCCCACAGGGATCTTGCCCGAGGACTTGGGGCGATATTTCAGAGGATGTTAATTCCGAGCTGCAAAACTAAGTTTTCGCTAATTATTGTTCGAGAACTCGAGAATTATTTTAAGTTCCTGTATATCTTTGTTCCCGAATTGCTTCCGTCCCTTAAGAAGCTCTTCCTTGGCTTTGTCACGAAAAGGGAACACAAATTTCTAGCCAAATTTTACGCTTATTCGTTTTCTCGATTCTTTTATTTGCCTGTGCGTGAAAACTGTCTTTGTCAGAGATAAGTGTCCTCATTGAATACAAAGTGCTTGGCATACTCGATCGAACGAACGCTGGAGCTCATTTTCACACGAAACCTTTCGAAAATGCTTGCTTCTTCTCTCTTGGAATTAGTACATAAGGTGACGCGAGACGAAACTCATATGTATGAGTTTCGTTTCGCATTTACCAAGACATTAACTGCATTTACCAAGTCTGTTTCGTGGTCAAAACGGCCGAAGGCATTCGCCCTTATGAATTTAGAAAGTTAGTGACGCAATAACAAAGTTTCAAAACGGAAGGCATATCAAACGTTTGACAACTGCTTCGACTTCCTTGATAAAAATATTCTCAATTCTAAGCTTTGGCAAAAAGAGTTTGAACTCTTAATGCATTTTAACATCTTTCCATCTTCTTATTCAGCTCCAGAGGTAACGATTTTAATACGGTAATACCCAAAACATATTTTAAATATGCAAAATATATCGGGCAACATCACGTTAAAGCAACACTCCCCCAAGTACTGTTATTGTTCGAATACAACCTACAAACTTGATGTTTCCTGAATTTAGAAGGTGAATAAAAGAGCTGATATTGTCTCTGAGAAACAACTCGATATTTTATCGATTCACTTCAACAAATGCCAGGTCAGGCATTGTGAAGTGGTTCAAATAATAAACATTTTTTCCTACAACCCGCCGAAGCCTACATTAGTACTTAACCCGAATCATATCAGATGAGGTTTTGATCCGTGAAAGAAACACATCACGAGCAAAACTCGAGGTAACCATGTATGTTGGTAAAAAAAAATGCTTCGATGACACAAACAAATCATCTCCGTGTGAACCATATCACTGCAACACGTATATCGAATGGTGGAGTTAATTTTTTCAGTTGATAGATTTGTTTTAAACACAGAACAAAACTAATTGTACCATGCTCATTTAGAAAAAAATGCTTTGGAAGATTACATTCAAAGAACTTTTTTAAGAGCAATTTGATAAAAACCACGGCAACTATATTCCGATGACCTCTCCGCATCGACCTCGAAACGTTACGTAAAATATCACGATGGGGTAGAATATATACGCTATGTTGAATGGTTTTGCACTGAGAAAGAGTTTGCAAACACAACATACCTCCTAGTGACCTTTGTTACATAAAAAGCATCAGTAAGACGGGTTACACAGACTTCGTGTTGAGTGGAATCAACGCTCTCTGCGAGGAACTCGCCGCTTTTCAAAACCCAGTGGATGTCAACGGATCAGTTCTCCCAGAAGCGAAATGCCTATTGTAAACAACGGCGTTTGCGTTCGTTAAGAGTTAAGTATTGCGTGAAAAGACTGATTTCAAGGAATCAAATCACCCGCCTTTAACAGTTTTTCGTTTAGTCTTCCCGTTTGTTGCGCAGAAAAAAAAAAGGTCATTAGAAAGTCTTCACCTATCGCAAAAAAACACATACTACAACTTCGTCGCATGCATCAGATTCCAGGACACTTAGGGTCGGCTATCGCGCAAAATTTACGTTTATTTTCCCCAGTTATTCGCTGTTTTTCTCTGTCATCATAAACAGTTGGTCGCATTAATAAAAAGGAAAGTCACACCCATACAATCGGCAGGGATGCAGAGAAAATTTCGACAGGAAAATCTTGTTATTTTTAAAGGTGTCACGCTGTTCAATTATCTGCTGTTGTCTAACGAGATTACAAGTACAAAAACAAGCTCAGGTTGTCAAGTTTACAATTGACCTGTCTGGAATGCATTTCTTTTGCCACGCCGCTCTCCTCTGACTTCAATAACAACAGTTTCTACTTAACTCACCCCTCCCTAGAAATGACTTAATTTTCATTCGATAGAATCTAACTTTCTATCACCGTTTAATTTGGAATCTCAACGACAACAACATTTTTACCTTTATGAAAACACCCTCCACCTCCCGCCTTTGGAAGACTTTCTCCCCTCGAGGATCTTAAATTTTATTTAAAGAGTTCCCTTAAATCTAGGGTCTCGACTACGATAACGAAATGTTTATCAACCTCACCCACCCATCCCCTAACGCTTTAAGGCCCTTCTGCGCCGCTTATGCGGCAGAATAAAGTAGAGAGTAACGAAAACTTCGTTAAATAGTAAACACTGATTTCTTTCTGAGTAGATCGATAGTAAATGACCGATTACTTGTCAGTGACTTCCTTGATATAGACTTTCTTTTTTTCTCAAAAGAACGGTACCTGCTACCAAAAGAGCCCCCTTAAATTTTCTATGTTCAACTGATGGATGAACGGTTTAATTGGTTCAACAGTGCTACATGGGGATCAGAAAGCACATTCCAATACTTGGGTCTTCTTTATGGCCTACAGAATCCTTGTAAATCATTAAGCGAGTGCGAGCACAAATTTTCGAGAGGAGCTGGGCCGAGTTGTGGCTGCTTAACACGAGCGTAATCCGGTCGCTCTTTCCAAGACCCGTTTTAATCTTCAAATAGAAGTTTAACGAATGCATGAAAGGCATGGTCTAAGGAAATTTAGTTACTGGATAGGTGCACACTAAGCTGATAAGAGTGAATCATGGATTAGAAACTCTTCTAAACCGCACATCCCTACGACGAATACATTAGTTTAATAATCAAAATTCTTCCGGACTAAACTTTCCTCCTTTTTTAGAAAAGTACTTTTAGATTGTGTGTTATGAGAGTAATATGTACATTTACTTTAAGATTAGTTTTTACATTGTAATTTTGTATATACTTCATTCAATTTGTATCATATTCTCTGATACTGACTGGCATCTAATTTCTCCTTACAATATCAGCCCTGAATCACTCAGTAAAGTCACGAGAATAAAAGAAATGATCAACTATTAAAGATGCTCTTGATTGTTCGACAAATTCTCCTTGTCAGCACCTAAAGAAATGTATAGAGAACAGTATGGAGAATATGCATACTGATGTTAGGCTGTAAAGAGTTAATTAAGAGGGCCACAAGTTTATTAGTTGGTTAACTAGTAGGTGTTACCCTCTTTAAATAAAGTTTGTTTGATTGATTGATTTCGCTCGATATAGGAGAAAAAAACCTCAATATGCCGAGTTTCTCTATATTCATAGTATACTGAACTAAGGACCAACAGAAAGAAAGAGAAATTTAAGGGTGACATGACTAACCATTTGACCTTTAACTCCTACAAGTGATTAACAACTAACTTCCTCCTATAATATTAATACATTATCCAGCAAAAAGGTCACGAGAATACTCAAACTTATCGGGTAGAAGTTGCTATTTTGATATAACACCAAATTCTTGTAACTAATTTAAATGAAAATATGTAGCTGCTCGAAGGGAGATTTGACAATCGGATCCTACGGTTAACACGTTAGAGTGACTAGCATCTAATTTATCTTTACAGTATCTGAACAGCCTATAAGAGGTAATTGACAATTTTTTTGGTTATTAAGATGTACCTCGTAAATGTACGGATGGGAATCCATTCTGTGATAGAGGGCCAGACTGTAAACATCTAGAACTCTTTAAACGGGAATTTGAGCGTGATTCTCACCAAGATTACACGAAAATTCCGACTGGTATCTGATGTGTCTCTTTCGACCGACACGAAACCCTGCGTCATGCCAGACACGAAACCCTGCGTCATGCCAGCCACAAACTGTTTCTCACAACTAATTAGTTAGTCGATTTAATCACATCAGCAAACTCTTATCTCATTAATCATATAAGCAGGTTCTTATCTCATCACCTGCTACTCTTAGGACGAGTTAACCACAGTTATTTCCATTGAGTCTCGAAAGTAATCTAGGAATGTGATCGGTTTTTACCTACCTCGCTCTGTGATTGGTCTAAAAAAAAGACACCCTATCCTCCTAACCAATCAGATTCAAACTTAAAGCAATCAAGAGTTATACATAGGAAGTTGCGTTTCTGCACTTCAGACAATAATTTCCTTTGTACTTTCATTTTTCATTGGCTCCTTGTAATTTACTCCCTGAAGAACTGTTGTGATATCTTCGAGTTTGGAACAGCGACGCATTCGTAATGCGCTTTATTTTTAATACCAATGAGTGACTAGCATCTAATTCAAAATATCACCCTTGTATCACACATTAAGGTCACAAGGAAAAGATGCTGATTACCACCCAAAGAAGCTCTTGTTTGTTAAACAAATTCTCCTTGTCAGCACCTTAGGAAATTTATAGAGAACAGTATGGAGAATATGCATACTGATATTGGGGTGAAAAGGGTCAAACCATTACAGAACGTGCTAGATTGAATGACCAATGTCTGACTTTTCACCTCTGCCTTGGGTAATACTTGCAAAGACGTGTTTCGCTCTTCCTTCATGTTCATAAACGTACGTTTCATGACACACCGAGCTGAACTGGGCGAACTCTTCCTTTTGTCCGTAAACTCATTCCGTTTCAAAACCAACTCCAGCAGCCCAGTTTACAAAGTAAACCGCTGGCCTTGACACGTGATGCAGTGTAACGCAGTTGGTTATTTTCGGGTGATATGACAAAATCTTGGCCTGTAATGAAAAATCAACAAAAGTCTCTTCAAGAGAGAGTTAAGAGATTACTTTTTTAAAACCGATATAAGGATTTAAAAGCTACTTCAGCTTACTATTCACGTAGTATACAGTTTCTGCAGTACATTGCTATTTGTTATTTGCTGTTCATAAGAATTTGGAGAGATCCCAGTTGGAGCACATTCCGTCTTCCTCGAATCGATAACGCAACTATGAGCCCGCTACGGCCGTTTTGCTTTATCATTGGCTATAGCAAGTACAGTGAAGCGAGTGAAGTTTGGAGAGCAAAGCGAGCGCGCATAGGCAAGCATGGAGCGTGAGAGAATCTCATTTTCTCTTCACGCTTCTTCCCTTATACACTCTTGGTTTGCGTTTTGTTACACCCTCCAATATATTATATAAAACAACATATAAGGTCAGTGAATAGACCATGTCACTGCTTACTGCTGAAAGCGCTTATTTTAAGTGAACGATTGGAAGAGGAGGTGGTTAAGTGACTGGGCGAGGAAGAAGATTTGGACGGAGGGAAAGGAGCCAGGGAGAAAGACCAGTGGCCTGTTTCTCGAATCTCCACGTAACTTAGCGAGCCCGAAGCCATATTTTAAAATCGAAATTTAAACAATGGAAAAGGAAGGTTCTGGCACCCTAACCAGATTATTTCGTTTCTTTAGTTGATAGTTTTATTATATCATTTTCAAAACTTTTAAAACCTTCATCTTGACTGAAAACGGAACAGCTCTACGGGCTCGTTAAGTTACCTGAACCTTCAAGAAACGGGCCCCTCGGGACGGATAACTAGGGGGGAGGAGCCCAAGGGGTTGAAAGAGGAGGAATGGACTCACGGAAGGGGAGGCGGGGGAGGAAAATGTATAGTATTTCGACTTCACCGAGCCTTTTTATGATCAACAGAAATTTTTATGGTACGACGTAGCCAAGTTTGCAGGTTTGTCATGACCGCTAGATAAAAGCTCTGAAAACACATTTTTACAGCCATAGTCTCGGTCTGAACTGATCATATTCACTAATTTCAACCAAGCTTAAGGCTTCTTCTCTTGAATTCTTATGATCGCAGAGCCCTAAAAAATTGTATAGTTATAATAGTGACTAAGATTTCGATCCACTATTAGGTAATGGTTTTTCGTCTTTCACTGTTTCCGTCTACCAGAGGACTTAATGCCGGGCACAATTCACATTTCATCATTAACAGAAAGTCGCAACTTTAATTGCTTAAAACATAGTCCTAGAAAATTTAATGAAAATGTGATTCACAAACACGGTCTGTCAAACTGTAAATGAGATGCTTCGAGGAAACACGCGAGGGGTAAGCGCGAGAGAAACTCGCGAGTTAGCTGTATCCTCGCGAGTATCTGGCCGAAAAAATCTAACAAAGGTCTGCACTATGCCCACAATAAATCCGGTTAGTTTTGAATGATGGAAATCTATACATCCCTTATTAAGTTCACCAAAAAGCCGACGTCCTAAAATAAAAAAAATTTTTCGAAAAGTTCCGTTTTTTTTGTACAACTTTTTGCATTAATGCGGACGGGAAGGCCAAACTTAACATTCTTAATTGTAACTTTAATGGATTTTTCCCATCCAGGGAACAAGTTTGGAACCTATAAACGAACCCGCGGAAACGAATTAACAGGACTTCGTACCTAAAATGGCCAAAAAAAATATATCAATTAATCGCCTCTTAAATGACTTTTTTTGAATGTCTTTTTTAGCTGACTCATTTTAGTCTAATTTAAAAGATTTTAAATAATAAAGACAGGAACATCTAAAGGCAGGAAGTTTTAACTTCTGTTCACACCTTTCCTCTCTTCCTTCCTTTCACTCTGTACATTTATAATCACTTGGATTAAAATCACTAAAAATAATATTTTTCCCTAGCAACCAACTCTAACTTTGCGGTCTCTAAAGTGTTGCAATCGAACACGTTTTTTCAAAAAGACGACGAAATGTCTGCAATTATCATAAGATGGACTTAGAAAAATCCCAAAAATATATGTTACAAACCGCAGGTGTTAAAAATTTCAAGTCAGTGAAACTTTTATCATGGAGGTAATAACTTTTTTCGGCTTACTGGACTCATCGAGGTGCCAGCCCCGATTATTCGAAGGGTGGATAACTTTCTCCGCTAGATAAATCGTTATCCACTGGATAAATCTCTACCCGATGGCGAGCACAGTACGTTTTGTTAACATCTATCCGCAAGATAACGATTTATCTGTAAGATAGCGTTATCCTCACTTTGAACAATTGGGCAAAGGTCTTTTAATTTCCAATCCCACGTAATTTAGTATTACGCGTTTTTATGATTATCTGACGGCAAAATCAGAGGAGTACCTCTTTCAAGCGCCCTCCAGTCTATTCAGAATTTTAAACAAAGGATTTTACATTCGCAAAAAAAGAGAAGGAAAAGTAATGTTTATAAACGCCGCTTGAGATGGAGATAAACGCAAGGAGCGAAATCATATGAATAACCACGCAGGTTTTCTGACTTTCATAAATAAATAAAAATGCCGGTATTGGACATAGGTTTGAATTTTAACTCCCGGGAAGATTTTTACCACACTCAATACAAATTGACTTTAAAAATGAAATATAGAGTAAATTAATGATTTCAATTTCGGAAAGTCGTCCCAGTGTATCTAGAATGGAAATAAAAAAAATCTCAAGTTTCATCATAGAATTTTCACTATTTAAAAGTTATTTTGAAGTTTGTAGTTTTGTGTTATGGCACTGTAGCCCGAGAGGAGGCTGGAAACGGAAAAATTTATCAATCGGTGACGTGTCAAACGAACTCATGAGGAGCAGGTGTTTCAATTCAGGAGATGCGTGGGTTTCGACGTTCGATTTTTTTGCTTTTAAACTTGTGTTATTTCATATTACGTTTCAAAACTCAGTGCCAGATTAACATTTCGCTCACTGTTTGAAGACAGAGCGAGCTTAATCTTTTTTTTTTTTGTTATACCAAAACTGATTCTTTGATCATCTGGAAAGGTTTAGCCAAAATTGTCCAAGTTTTTCTCGCGCAATTCCTTTTAACCTTCTTCCACTTAAACTATCTTTATTTATTATAAGTTTACGATCGCTTCTTTCGCGTTTTTTTACAGAGGAGGAAGAGTGTAGAGAAACATTTAACTATAAAAAATTGGTTATACCACATTTCTTAAAAACAAAGTCGACGACCTTTCGACGCTACCTTTAAGTCCTTATCAAGTAAAAAACGATAAAAACTAGGAGCAGTAAATACTAGGAAGAACAAGAGGTGATAAAGGCAGGAAAACTAACACACAAACAAACATTAAAATGACAAGCTAAGTAAAAGTTTCGCTCGTATGGACTCCGTTTGGAGTCCACAATCATTTATCAGCCGATCCTGTTGCTATGTAGATTCAGTGGACTGGGAACAAAAATAAATCCCAGGCTTCTGAAAGGTTTTGATTTCGACTAAGGGGCCAGTCTCCCCGCGTCCAAATAAAAGTATTTTTTCTCTCCCCAGCCTTCTTCTGCTTCTAGAACCCAAGAAGGGGGCCACACTTTTCGCGAAGAGGTGTTAAGCGTTCGCTCGCCGAAAGAACTTCCTCTGAATCAAAATTCTAATGATAACTCTTCGGATGTTGGATTTGCAAGCCTCTTTCTAATCTAGGATTCATCGATTGCAGGGGTTTGTAATCAGTTATAGACACCAACTTTACACCTGCACCCGAAAATCCCATCACAGTACCATTGCAAAACTGGGATCCCTCTCCTCCCTTTGCAGACCTATGCTCCCTTCCCCCCTTTCACCCCTTGGTATTTTTCATTTTTCTGCAGACGCATACTGACAGCGGTAATTATCTAAGTTAGTGTTGCGTGCTTTCCCGCCCTTTTCACCGGCTGTACGTTATCGCTCAGCGCGCCGATTGGTTCTTTAGCTATCAGCGTTATGATTGGTCAGGTGTATTAACCTTTTTTGAAGGTCAGTTGTATGGCTCTGAAAAAAAAACTGTACTTCTTTTCTATATCTACTTCTGACTCTTTCAAAAGCGTATTACTGTCTAACCTTCGTGTGAAGTCGTTGAAAGTTGCGGAGTATTTCAACCCAAGATCGTTGCCACTGATCCATTCATCGATCAACGTAGGATGAGAAATGTCCACCTCTAACCATACCGAGCTGCGATAGAATAATTCCACGTCAAGTTGTTATCTTTGAAACATTGATAGAATGGGAAAGTTATATGCGGAAGAACTGTGCGCGGAGGCCGCAAAGTGGAGCCCCATACCTAAGAAAAAACGTAACCCAGCAAGACCGCGAAATTTGTTCGTCACGCGATCATTGGTTCACAAAATTGTGTTTTTCGCATGCACAACAAGCTACATTACGGGCTCGACGTGTTAATACAAATGTTAAGCCGGATCAACCTGACTTCTCGCCTTCCCTTAAAAATGTTACTGTCCATTTAGGTCTCTCATTTAGTTATTTTTATAGGAACTACTAGGTAACTTGTAGAAAGTCGAATACAATGAAGAACGTTTCATTATTAACCCAGCGAAACTCCGCGTTGGGGCTTGTCTATCTATATCAAACCAGCTATAATAGAGCGTAACTGCGTAACAATCTCAGGTACTCACCTACGTCTTGTAGGCTTTAATAGCATCGGTGATACACGTAAAATGTCTTTAACAACATCCAACCCATCAGGTCCACCGCATAGAGCATGTTCATCTTCATATCTGACAAAAAGAAAATCAAATCAAATCATCGACATTGTTTTTTGTTTGTTTTGTACTTTGTGTGTAGGTTTGTTTTCAATCTTCTTTATTCACGCTTATCGCCATTAACCATACCTTTAACCAACTATCACAAATATACAAATAAACCAACCTGGAGATTTCAGGTTGTAACAGAGCCATGTCTTTTAAGGGAATATAAGGAGGATTGCTGATAATAGCATCGAACTTTCTTGACCCAAGTAACGGTAGGACAGATTCTGAAAGGCAGAAAAATGATTCGGAAAGGGTAGAAGCTTGAGGTAACAAACTTACTCGCGACTTAAGCCGTTGCAACGAAATAGGTTTTCTCGCACTCCAAGATATTACATGATGAAAGCTCTCGATATAACTGCGTATAACAAGTTTACCACGCTATGAGCAGTTACACGCACACACATTTCCCCTTGCTTCAGACAGGTACCGGTTACAAATTTTCCTGCCGAGACAGCTGGTGCGGAATAATACGTTTTCCCGCGCTTTTAGGTGGTACGCGGTGGCAAATATTCCAATCAGGGTTAAATTTGAAAAAAACTACTTACGAACATCGGCATGATGCAATTCTATCCTGTCACTTACATTGCATCTGAAATAAAGAGCAATCCAAGATTTAATTATTTCGTGTTGTACTCTGACAGAGCCCTCGGTTTCCGGCTTCCCTTTTCCGATAAGACTCTGAGAGTGAGGCCCATGAAGCGTCGTTTAAAAAAAGTATCGCCAGTTCTGTTCCTGCACCTCACTCACAGAGTTCCGCGCGGCGCGCTGATATCAATATAATGTTTACTGATTTTTTTTTTTCAATCATGCGAAGGACTTCGCCGAAATCTTTCAGGGACTGCTTGCAGTCTATTCTCGTAGCTGGGTAATTTAGTATTATCAACTGAGTTGATAACGTAATTGGCCACCGTAAAGAGTTTTAAAGCTGACGTTTCGAGCGTTAGCCCTTCGACAGACGAAGACAATTACTCTGACGAAGGGCTAACACTCGAAACGTCAGCTTTTAAACTCTTTACGGTGGCCAATTTACGTTATCAACTCAGTTGATAACACTAAATTACCCTGTTATATTCTCCCACCGACGCAGCACCACTGTTTCTTTAGAAACTACCCCTTTATGTTTTATTTATTACAGTTTTCTCCAAACCATAAAATCATAACATTAAATTAAGATAAAGGTGGAGAGGGAAGCATCCAAAAAGCGCATATTCTCTCACCTGTTTGCATTGTGCCTTGTTAGGTTAACTGCCGCTTTATTCTTGTCAATGGCTACACATGTAGCCTAGCATCACACAAGAAAATAAAGATTCAAGTCAATATAGCACATTAAAGTTAAACAGAGTAAGAAAAACGCAATTGCTTCAAGGGAAGCTTGTTAAATTGGCAATTAGATGAGATGCTATCAAAAGTTGCTGCAACAACTTGTTGCATGCAACAAGACAAAATTACCTCGGAAAACTCAGTCAATATAGACAAACATATGGCTCCACTTCCACACCCAATTTCCAAGAATGAGAAGGAACTACCTTCAGTTTCATCATGGACATGATGTTTGGCTACCAAATCAATTAGTTCCTGAAATTGGGAAGAGTTAATTATTGACATATTTATTATGATTGTAAAAGCTGTTTAAACTGAAGATCTCGTCATACAAAAACCTAGATACATGACACCAAAGTGAACAAATCAAACTCTTGTACAAAACTTGGAAAACAACCTTGAAAGCATCCTCACCTCAGTCTCTGGTCTTGGAATAAAAACAGGTGGTTCCATTGACAATGTCAAATGGCGAAATTCCCATTCACCAATAATATACTGAACAGGAACTCTACAAAAATACAATTCGAAATACATCAGGCCTTCAAAAAAAAAACTAAGGACAATGAAAGCAACCATTTTTACAAAATAACTGATGTCAAAATCTAAGTTAAAATTAATTGTGCTGATGTAAAATTCACAGAGAAACCCGGATTTCATGTCACAAACCCTCTCTATCAAACACTGTCATGTCTGCCCCCTAAATGGAGGGTACATTGACAATCACATTAACTCTTTACACCCTAAAATCTTTATTCATATTTTCCACACTGTTCTCTATACATTTTCCAAGCCATAGAGTGCTGACAAGGAGAATTTATATAACAAATCAAGAGCTTCTTTAGTTACTGATCATTTCCTTAATTCTCATGACGTCCTTGTTCAATTCAGGGGTGATATTGTAAGGAGAAATTAGATGCTAGTCACTCTGAGGAGTCAAAGAATTCATGTGTTTTGACAGCCTATTGCAACTTTGGAGAGTAAATTCCACAATAATGTGTTTTCATAATTCCTTACAACTTTTACCTTTCAGAACTGTTGTGTAAACCAAGGCACCCTGACTATTCCCCCTTGATCCTTATTTTAACGTACCAAACAGTCTACTGTAATACCTTTGTAATCTCTGATGACACAGTTTATTAATTTTCTTGATCTCTTCTCTTGTTAAATTCTGACTGTTTTCTCTGACACCAGAAACCTGAAAGAATAGGAATGAAAACAGTGATTAACCTACATGCAATCTGACAAACTTACCACATGGTCACACCATGTCTATTTGATTAAGTGCCATTTGAGCTTCTTTAACTTTTGGACTTTGAGAAAGGGTGCAGCCTTATTTAAGGTGGGTGCGTATTTGAAGCTAGGTGTTTGGGGAATTTTCACCTTGTCAGCAAGTATTAAGTCTATTTAGTAACAAAACAATAAATAATAACAATACATGAAGATGTACACATGTACCACTAACCATGAATTTGGAGATTGAAAGCCAATAAAAACTCCCCTTGTGCACTTCAGTTTTTTTCCTGTAGGGGGGGAGTGGTAGGCAGGGAGGAGGGGGGGATGCTTATTTAAGGCCTCTTGGCCTCAAAGAATAAACACTACCTCAGAGATGGGGTCTCTCGATTTAAAACAATTAGGTCTTAAAAGTCATGGTTGCTAATCCTACCTTTTACAAAAAAAACTGGTGATCCAATCTGGCACTTGAGTGGGGCATTTGAACACAACTTCGGCCCTTGAGGGATTTCAAAAGGCCGGTGTGTTGACCCAGAAGTGGGGGGGGGGGGGGTTTGTTGAAGGTTGAAGGTTTGAATTGGGTCCACTCAAAACTGGTTTTACAAAAATGAGTTCTAGAATTTTACATACATACCCCTGCTCTGTCCTTGCCAAGGACATGTTCTGTGATGAACTTCACCGATAATTCTGCTTCAGGCACACGTTCTTTCTTTAAGCGATGGATCCACTTGTCTATCATATTTCGTGACTGAAGGTTTTTGACATCCACACAAGGACTCAACGCATCAAAACTACAGTTTTGTGATCTGATGTAAGTATTCGTCAATCGAAGATGATGATGACCCCTTAGTGCCTTAAGTACACTTCTCACCAACATTGTCAAAGCATGTTTGTGGTCCACTTTACTCAGACTGAAGTAGGAGCGCAAGCTTTTAGATAGCAAATTGTCGATAAATTAGCAATATCTATAAGAAGCGCAGACAAGTAATAGGTAAAATAGCTCTCTCATTATTTTTTTCCACCATTCTGACAATTTTCCTTGCAGGAAATAACGCTGTTAGCGGTAAATTGCAACAAGGGTTTAAGCGCACAACAACGCCGCCATTTTTAAATGACATTCATACCCAGTCCACACGCACTCCGTTATTTCGAAGGGAAGCACACGGGCTCGAGTGTTTCGAAAGGTTCGTGAAATTTGCAGTCGATGCAAGTTAAACATCCTGCACTGAAGCAGGAAATTAATTACTTAGTGTGTCGACGACATCAATCGAGATCTACTTACGATCATTCCAACAAGCAGTGAAGATTCGGGGAGATGGCATCTGCGGGATTTCGCCTCCCGCGGCCATGAAAACAGGACATGCGTAAAATTGTCGTTATGAAGTTAACCTTCCTTTCCATCTTGAACATCATAGCTGTGTTGAAAACAGGTTAGCGTTTATTTTAAAGATTATCCTTCCTTCTCGAGACAACTGTAGTTTAGCTCTGAAAATTTCATCGATCTGTTTGTAATCAGCTATGTAGAAATCATGGTCGATCTTGCCTGTCTAGTTAAAACTTAAGTTCCGAATTTCAAATCTAAGCTAAGCCAGGAGCAGTCTCGCTTCAAGACTTACATAAAGTATACATTTAAATCGATAGTGTTCGACCCTCAGGATTTACATGGCAAACTATTTGAGTTCTAAGAAAGCGCGTAAAGAGTCAGTCTGTCGATGAGCTTGATCTATTATGCATCGGGATGAATTTTTTGAAAACAAAATTCCTAATCTCGGACCAACTGTCTCCTTCAGTTACCTTGAAGAGGTTATCTGCGACAGACTGCGATGTGCAAGTTCTTATGCTGGTAGTCCGTGGATTCGTTCCTTAGAAATAATGATTACACCCATGTTTTATTTGTAAATTAACTTATTCCTGAAATTTTTTCTCGCTTTTAGGGCATGGAATCCCAATATCGTCATTTACAAACGATGCAGACAACAGCATTCAACTTCCAGGGATCAAAAACTTATCAGAGTCATCAAACCAAAATCACTCAAGACTAAACAACATTACAAGCAATGAACTAAAGACAGATCCAATCATTACAACAACAAACACTATCAAGCATGAGTCACCACCCCTGACTTTTCCAACGGCCCACACAGATAGGAATTTGTGGAGTGCAGGATTTCAAGACAGCAAAACAAATGTCTCCAGCAAGAACAGTACTACAACTGTTAGGACTCCACTGACTTCTAAAAATCCAACAAACCTCAGAACTCCAACAGAACATCACACCCTACCAACTGTTTTGCCAACTACACCTCGCTCAAAGAAGCATCGATTTATTTGGAAAATACTTGCTTACACTCTCATACCTGTGGGTTGTTTGTTGACAATCCTGATCACATACTGTTTGGTAAGTCTAAAAGATATTTATAACATGAGCAGGGGTTCTTAATCCTTCACACCCTATCATCAGTATCCATACTCTCCTTACTGCTATTCAGACATTTCCTAAGCTGCTAACAAGGAGAATTTGCTTGACAATCAAGAGCCTTAATAGTAATGATTAGTTGGTGATCATTTCCTTTATTCTCATGACCTTAATGTGTGATTCAGGACCAATATTGCAAGAAGAAATTAGATGACAGTCACTCTTGGAAGTTAATGGAAATGGGGTAGTAAGGAAAAAGCCAAACATGAGATCCTGCTTGCAGGCTTAACCTTTAACTCCAAAGATCTGATTGTTAATTCTCCTATTTAGCTATTACACATTTCCTTGTCATTAAGTTACAAGAATTTGGTGTTACGTCATGATAACAACCTCTAACTGATAAGTCTGAGTAATCTCATCACCTGTTTGTGGGATATTGTATGAATATTGTAGGGAGATGTTATATGTAAATCACCTCTGGGAGTTAAAGGGTCAAAAGATGGTGGAAAGAGGTCTTATGCATGGTGATAGATTGCTGGTAACTTACTTTAATGGGAACATCTGGACTAGCAGCCTTATTTGGCTTAGTGATGCAAGATTTTCATCGTCCTAGCTCCAGTATTGAGGTCAAGGGCCAAATCATTTCAGAAGATGTCCAGAAATAACCAAATATCACACAAGGTGGTCCAAAATTTGCAAAGATACTATAAAGGATAAGAAAGATGGTAAAGTTTTTGAGCTTGGTATTGAAATACAAATGAAATTGAAATATTTCATTATCAAGCTTGAAGTGTACAATCTTTGGTATTCTCTTTGCATACATAAGGCTTTGGACATTGCTGATCCTTGCAGTATTCAGGACACATATAGCGTATAAACCAGGTTATAGCCAAGCTCACAATGGAGTCCCTGTGGCTCAGCAGTAGAGCATCAAAGGGTGGAACCTGAGAGCTTGAGGTTTAGTTTTCATGGGAAATTGGAAATTTTGTCTGGGTCCTAAGCCCACGTCAAGCAAAAAATGGTCTCTCCTTGTTAATTGTCAATAAGAGTTTATATTAATTTTGCCAGCACCAGCTCTTCTGTACAAAATAATGAAGGTTTCACCAAAAAAGACCATTCACATATCTACTTTTTTTTGGCTCTTTAATTGATTTGAGTTTAATTTGGCATTGCATTTTATTTTTCAAAAATTATGTCAATCAACCCTTTGACCCCCCCCCCCTGAGAGTGACTAGTTTCTGATTTCTCCTCATGATATCACCCCTGAAAATGATCACCAACCAAAGGAGCTCCTGATTGTGAAACAAATTCTCCTTGTCAGTTCTTTTGGGAATTTATAGAGAACAGTATGGAGAATATGCATACTGATGTTAGGGTGTAAAGGGTGAAGACTGACCTAGCTTGAAAGTTCCTGCTTGGCATGAAATTGTTTGGCAGCTGTGAGGTACCAAGCATGCAAATCACACCCAACACATCAGTTTCAGTTATTAACATTTTGTGCTTTTGGCATGAGTAAAAAATGGGTTGGATTTAATAAAGTTGGTTTTTTTCTCTCGGAAAAAGGAGGGATGTAACTGATATATTTTCTACAAATTTACACTATGAAATAAACTGCTCAATATTATAGTATTTTGGTTTTGTTTAAGGTTCGTCATGTGCAGAAAGTACGGAGGAAAAGAAGACTTGAGCGGGAGCTTGTACATCAATACTCTTATCCAAACAGTGAAGCTGATGACTCAGAAGAACAGAATATTGGAGACTTTGAAAGTGTCATTAACACTCACTTTGTTGCCTTCAATGATCGCACAGACAAAAATCTTTATGAGGATCCTCAGACAGAGGTAAGATCTGATGTGGAGCAACACCAAAGAAGCTGGCAAAGTCCTTTAACCCTTTACCTCCTATGAGTGACCAAGAGAGAATTTCTCCTTACAACAATCAACACAATATCAAGCATAGAAGTGATGAGAATAAAGTAAAATATCAATTAGGGATTATTAGTTGATCCAATACCAAATTCTCCAAATTGACATCATAAGAATTGTATGACAGGCAGTAAGGCGAATTACTAATGAGATTGTGGAAGGTAAAGGGTCAATCTTTTTACCCCTAGGAGTAGTCAAAGACCAATTTCTCCCTGCAGTATCTGAAGTCAACCCTTTCACTTTCAAGATCTCATTAGTAATTCTCCTTACTGTCTGCTATACAAGTTTCATAATAGCAGTGTGGATAATTTGGTATTGGATCAACTAATAATCCCCTCGTTGCTATTTTTCTTTTTTCCACGTCACTTGTCAGCTTGATATTGTAGTGATATTATAAGCAAAAATTCTCTCTAGGTCACTTATGGGAGATAAAGATGTTTTGGAAACATTTGTCATGAGTGTATAGACAGAAAATGCATATGTGAGATCTTCAAATAACATATTAGGGCCATAAATTTGTTCCATAGTGTATCTAGAAAAAAAAAACACAAGTAACATCTTTCAAATAAACAAAAGGTGTTCTTTTACACTACAGGTGAACCTAGCCTTTGAAGAAAGTTCCAAACTGGTGGTTCATGAGTCTGCTACTTCTATTCCAGAGGAACTTGAAGTTTCAACAAGTTTTACCAGTTGATGTAAAGAATTGATGTGGACTTGCAAGCACTAAACCTGTTTTATGGCAATAGGGTTGCAAAATGAACCCTTTCACTCCCATGATCCAATTAGTAATTCTCCCAACTGACTGCCATACATTTCCTTGTAAATGGCACAGGAGAGGTAGGTGTTACATCAAGACTACACCCTTTGGCGGATAAGCTCGTCTTTTCTCGTTGCCTATTTGCAAGATAACATATTTGAATTGCACTGAGAAGTAGCTAGTTAATCACTTCTGGGAATTAAAGGGTTTAGTAAATGAACCTCCCAATTTTCCAGTAACAGTGTTACTGGGAAAGAGGAAATCATCGACAGTAATTCAAGTTTGCTGAGTCCTGTACAGGGATTAAGGTGACCTATTACTAAACAGATCCACAGCAGCAAGGAATCTATTTGTTTCACATGATTATGACGATGACCTAGTGTAGAAAACCTTTGATTTTTTCTCTTTAAATATCTAATTTCCTTGTAAATAGCTCGTTTTAAACCTAAGGGAACTTTCTGGACAAAGGAGAAAATGTTTTTAATGGTGACATTATATATGCAACTAATAGATCATTAGTAAGAACCAATCAAAATGCATGAGGACTGTGCATAATTCAGTGGATCATAACTTCATTAACTGTGTACAGGAACAACTCTACAATATTTACATAAAAAAAAAGAAAACTGGTCTGTAATCAGTATCACTATGATCAAAGGTCTTTATCATTTTGCAAAATCGTTCGGGAAGAGAAAAATTATATTTAAACATAATTCTTAATCATTATTCAACCATATTACGGTGATGCAAAGCAACTCAAAATTTGTTTATTTAGTTCAAAGAACCTAAATATGTAAAAATGTAAAGATTGTTATTATATTATTGTATAATTGCAAGGTAAAAATATTTAAGAGTTGTGATGCAAAATACGTAAGACCAAATATCTTTTAAGAATTGCTGTTCAATTTAGATACCTGACATGTTAGTAAACACAAAGATTTAAAAAAAATACTGTTTGATAACAGTCTGCCAGTCTCGTGTTTTGTGGGGATGGTTATTGCAGGCAAGTAAAGTCTTTTTTAGGCACACTCGCCTTCCTCCTTCCTCTTTGGGAACAAAGCAGCTACAACCGGGGTGGGTTTGCAGCACGATCTATTTCAGAAAAAGTAACGCAAATCACGGATCACGAGTACCAATCAGTTCATTTTCCCCAATCACGTTCATAACAATAAGTGACAATATTTCATCCTGCTCTTGCGCTGAGGACTCTTGCCTAGAAAACAAGAGAGGGAGCGTTTGAAGAATCAATACTAAAGTGAAAAGCTGTCTGATTTTTTGCCCTGAAAATAGACGAAAAGGCTAAAGCATATAACAAGAACCGACGCCAGTTTCCGCCTTTTGCTCTCCACCTCTCGCGATTTCGTCTAATTTTCTTCTGAAAATGGCGAAGAACGAGCATTAACCCTCCTAGACTTTTCCTACGAAAGGAATCGCAACTCCAAATCGGTTGCAATATGTGGTATAGTCATGAATGTCGGTAATAATTCACGGTTCATGCGAAACCGTTGAGTCACAGATCACGAGATTAACGTTTCACGTTATTATAATCCGCAACTCGCGCATGGTGAAAAATACTTTGCGGCTTTGTTGTCTTTCTTTTCTATTTTCAGACTGTATTTTCTCTGTACAGCTCTCTCAGGTTTCTTAAAATTAAACTGAATTTGTACTAAAATCAACTTTTTTTCAATTTCCTCAAGAGACCATTATCTACGTGCACGCGGTTGACGCGTTTAGATCAATTGCGGAAAGACCGCAGACTTGAAAAGTGCGAAGCTTTAGTGGATCAAGTTTATTTTTAAGATACAAATTCAAAAGTATAGCGTAGAAAAATTTTTGGCCGTCTAATTTTTGGTTTGGGCTGTAGTGCGACCTGGGTCTAACTCAAAACAATATTGCATCCTATTGACCAGCGGTTAAAAGATGGCCTCGTTTGTGATTTAGTAATCCGGTAGGGCTTGGGCACGATTTATAGTACCTCATTGCTGACTCATCTTAAGCCGGAAGTCAGTTGTTATTTATAATATTACGATTTATTTACTCTCCGGTCGCTAAGACACGTAACTCATGGCCAGGTGAACATGAAAAATGACACGAGAACTTCCGAAGATGAAAACCCTTTTAATAACGGTCAAATCAAACAAAAGGTTATCGCAAATACTATATTTTGTCAGGCGAATGCTATCCGATTTGCTTATTGTTTGGAATTTACGAATATTGGCGAGAACAGTGTTCATTTATTTCTTTAGATTTTTTTGGCAGGTTATAAATTGTAGACATTTCAGCACCAGCTGGATTTACATAACTAATGCCTCCGTCAAAACTGATGATGGTTTCGTACTTCAAATAAAGACATTTCGAGTCGCTAAAAAAGTTTTCATGCTGTTACGGTTTTCTCGATTCTTTCATATTTCAGTCCTTGTCTTTCATTTAAAAGCTGAATATATCTATACCGATTGCCGATCTGGTTTAATGAGAGAATTTCTAGAAATAGCCTGTGTTGTTAACCTCTTAGATGAAGAGATTCGCTGTCGTCTTCGAAAGGTATCTCAGTGTGATGTAACATAAAACAGAATTGCACCATCTGTATCCTATTAAAGTTATCAGTATTTTATTCGGTCAATCGGTCGATCGGTCGATCGGTCGCTTGACCGACGAAACTAAAAATAAGATGGCATACCTATTGCTGATAAATAATTTTAAGAGATTTTACGGATTAAAAACGAAAATTTATGCTAAACAGAAACAAGGAAGACAGAAAGCATGAAATTAGAATGACACTCCCAAAACCCACACGGAAACCGGTAAATCGAGGGCATGCAGTTCAGATGTCCAAACATATAGAAACCCTTTCAAAATGCGTAGGATCATTTTAGTTCTTACAGTGTGTGCACAGTCCTGTTTTCGCCTTTCGTTTAGGGATACCTTCAAATTTTGAGAGAAAGCCTTCCTCTTTGTCGAGGCTCTGTCACACAGATTCGATTAAATTCGAGTATAGGGAGTTGCACGAACACAGCATAACTTTCTTCGGTCATTCGAGAGCTAACAAAAGCTTGCACCTCTTTCAATTTCCGTTCGCGCTCGACAGACCTCGAACATCGACAACAAGATATGGCCTTCATGTTGTCATTTCAGAGACTACTTTCGTGCAAACCATTGACGAAAGCGACTCTTTTTTGCTCACCGCTGTTGCTGAAAAAAAACCATCAAATTTTCAACCGCAACACGGAATTTCGTTATGTCAAGTTTCCGCTTTGCCTGATATGAACGCTGATTTCGTTCGGTGAGACATGTCTCAATTTTATAATCCCAATGTTAGAAAAAAATTCACCCAAGTTCCTCCGTAAAAACACTGACGAGTATGAAAATTCCCTCAAGTGAAGAAAACAACATGAAACCAAAGATTCTATCGGGGCGGATCGACGCAATAAAAGTAAAGGTAGTGTACAGCTTTGTACAAATTGACAGAAGTGAAATAAAGTGCACAACTTGGAAATGTAGCACAAGGCTTCTTTGTCGACTTAGAGACAACGTATCCTACTAGACGTTGAAAAGGCCACGTTGCAGAAACATGTCGTCGCGTCGGTTTAAATACCGGATGTCGCAGAATTCTTGACCATACAAAAAATAAAAGAAAAACAATTCAATTCTCAACCCTAAAGGTTCATGAAGTCGAGTGTAAAGGGAATTATCATATTTCGCTAGGACACCGGCCAGCCAGAAGATTTGGTAGGAAAGATGAAATTCGTTTGAAAGCACAATCTCAATATTTAATGCCCTGCGACATTTTTGGAAGCGGCGGCGAAGAGATTATCGCTCAAAAATCCTTTGTTTCCAATCTGTTTGATGGGCTGTAAATTATTGACTTTTGTAGGAAAGGGAATTAAACTCGCAAACAATCATTTCCATTGATTTTCATTCGTACATTGTTTGTCCACCACCAAATTTGCATACTTGAAGTTGGAAACCATTGTTTTTCGCAAATCCAGTTTTACATTTTCGATTAAAAACTCCCATTCATCCGAATATTGACAATGTCGTAACAAGGTCTGTTCCACTTGATTGAAGATTCGACAACAACTCATGTTTGGTCACCAATCGCCTCGCATAGCTCGCGAATGAAGCTAAACATATCTAGTTATTAAAAAGAACGTCTGTGGTATTTCCTTGCGAACTGTTTGACACAACATTTCCTGATTTTCAGTCTTTTTTGAAAAGAATCACACCACCTTCGACCTCGTGCCACGCTTTGTGTTTCCTGTGTGACGTCACTGAAAGTCTCACGTGACGACAGGTGAAGACGCATGCGTGTAACGACTACAAGTTTGTCTTGTCTCGTAAGCAGCAAGAGCAACTGCAAATGGCGTTGACTGAGATACATTTTTTGTGAAAATACATCCCCAAACGACGCTATATTTGGATTTTTTTGAATGAGCAGGCGCCCTCGTACAAGTCTAGGGTGGCTATAGTTTGTTGGAACCAGCGTCAGTGTTGTTTTTGTGGTGGAAATTAAACTTGTTGTACGCCAGTGTAAGTAACACGAGTTAGATGACTGTGGCTCTAAACCAGCCCTCAACGGACGCTGTTAGGTAAGTTTAGTGCGTCATATTTCAGCCCTCTATGTACTATACCATTTCACTTGCATATGGTGTATTTATAACCGTTTCCAGAAAGTATTTTTGTCTCAATAACTGCCACCTATTTCTGACTTACAACATTGAATGAATTTGTGTGTTTATGTACAGCACCAAGTTCTCACTTTCATGTTGTTATGTGTAAAGCTTGCTGGAATAACTTGCTTCAGAGATCGAGTTTATGCTTTATAATAATTTCTACAAACACTTTTCGTGCTACATTTGTATAATGTAGCAGTGAAACAAGATATTGGCGATATGAATGAGTTTCACTTCGGTGGTTGACGTATACCTCTACGCCTACCGAGAGTTAGATCTTTGGCTGAAAGGCGAGGATTTGCAACAGTATAGATGTCTCTATGAGCTAGACATCCCATGATATAATCGTACGCGAAGTTCACATCTATTCCCTTGAAGTTTTCATCTATCATTCGTCCCCTCTAGGTAATAGATTAAATCGATTCGGCCCTGTTAGAATTTTGTCAAATGATTTTGTAATTTGACCTTACCCAAAGACGAAAGTGAACTTAACTGAAAACAGCAGCAAAGAGAACACTAAATGCTCATTTCAACCTCAATAGAGAAAACTATTCAGAATATTTGCTGTAGTCGCTCTAAGTCAGTGGTATTTTTGCATTGGTGTGTTGTGTTCGAACGATGTTATTGTTAAAATGCATCAGGGGTTTGCCCTCAATATGCGATAAATTCGGTTTCTATAAGTAGTTTTACTAACCCGATGTTAAAGTGATGTCGGGATATTGTCCATTTTTTAGAATATCCAGGATATTTACGTCTTAAATGATGGAAATGATTCCTTTCAGCCTCTCGCCTACATGTGCTTGTGTCCGCCATCTTGTCTTAATCGACTCGTTTTTTTACTCAACGACCAAGAAATATAAGATTTTCCTCACTAATGGTTTCTTCTACCGTCATTTAAAATACCTTAGACGAGTTCAAGGATAGAAACTTGCTTTTGCAATCATATTTTTGGTTTTCATGTCGTTTCTCAAACGAAAACGGTTGATTTTGAACACGTTTCGCAGAATCATGAAAGCCGTGGTGGCTTTCCTTAGACGGGTGGAATGAGGAATTTTGGTGGGAAGGCATCTTCATTAAATCCTCAAAGAACTCACACGTTTGAGAAACTGTTTTTGACGCTGAAACGGTGAAAGAGAAATTGTTTTGGTGCTTTCAATATATATAATTCGAAAGGTGTGTCCATTCGCTCTCAATCGTTGTGGTGTTCAAATATTTATCGTGTTCTCAATTCGCATCTATCTTCCGATTGCCAAGTTTATTACAAGGTCGATCTTTGTGTCTGTTCCATTAGATTTTGTACTATGCCTTCTGCTTTAAAAGCCTCCTGTATTTTGCCATCGTCTTATTTAAAATTGCGGTCAAAATGTAGTGAACCGCGTCTAAGAGAAACGTGTTTGTTTGAACGGCCGCCATCTGCTTGCTTCATCGCTTTCCACTAGGGATGTTATGATTAATGCATGTCCGTCTCTCTACATGCTTTATTTCGTCATTGCGTTAGATTGTTCTCCTTTCTGAAGCAAGTTGTGGTAACCTATTTGTGTTTTTATACCGCGTTAGATTCGTCTATTTTGGAAAACTTCAACGAGAGAGCGTTCGAATCGAATCGTGTTGCGCCTCAAAATTTGTCGCTATTTGCATGTATTTTTCATGACGTGGTCGTGTGCTATGTATTTGCCTGTGTGCCTTGGAAGCTAAAATCGATCCTTTCTCGATTTATTTCGATACGAAATGCTTTGCTATTGTCAAGTGCTTGTCTTGGGGTCGGTTTTTGCCTGTGAAGGTCACCAAGTTTTCCTTTGTCTTGTGGAAAATCAATCGCTGAAACTTTGCTCTTCGCGAAGGTTTCAAGAGTTGACTTGTCGAGTTGAATCTTCGCGGAAATTATTATCAACTTAATCTTGGATCAGATGTGAGATTGTTCTTTATGCATTGGGAATTTTCAATTTGCTTGCGCCTCTTCGAAAGCAAACTTCAATTAAATAACTGCTCTGTTGCACATATTTTTATCACAGAACATTCCGGTTCATTTCAAATCAGGAGGCTTTTGTAATCGTAGAAGATATCTTGAGTCGAACTATATTTTCTTATGTGTTTCCTCTGCGGCAGTTTTTCAGTTCCTCTCTATTTAGTGGAAATGTAAAATTACATGCTTAATGGTAACACCTTTCATAGACAAGCATGACATCTGTTAAATTTTTAAAGCTCTAGTGGTTTTTGAGAATTTGAATCACCGTTAATCGTGCTTTAGCAGTGTTCAAGGATGACTCTCGCCATAATTAGAATCCAACTGTATTTATTGGAGGTCGGTGTTTAAATAGCAAGAATATTTTATTCTAATTCTGTAGTCAACATCATGTCACTTGTAATGCAAACACAGCATAGGCTTTCCTTTATAAGTTGATGCCTGATCCTTCTTGGTTCATTCTATGTTGAAGATAGCCTTACCCAGATTTCAAGAGTTAAAAGCTTTTAACAGATTATGTGTATGCAGTGTCCTTGCATGAATGATGACAGTTCATTAGGTTGATGTTGTCTCCTGCAGCCTCTAAATTTACATTTGGTTCATTATCACTTACACTGCTTCATTCCATATTTATGATGTAACATTCAATTCCCCTTGGTTATTTGTTGCATTTTACATGAGTTCAGGAGGAAACATTTCCCTTCCATGCTTAGCATGCCTCCAAGATCAATGCTGATTCCTCAAGCAGTTTATAGACACATTTGAGAGCTCAGTGAGCACAGGAACATCAGTAGATTTTCATTAAGGCTTTATCAGTAGAAATCTCAAGTTGGGTTGTCCCTTCAATACAGCTCCTATCACACCATAGGTTGTATTGTATTGTGTAGGAGTTGATTTCCATATCATTACTGAACAAGGAACTCTCATAAACACTTCAGTGAGAGGTCCTTGCCATACAGCGGGGCAAGATTTGATTTAAAATGAGTGACACATTAACATTTATTTTTAAAAGAATAAATCAGTTGAGAAGGAACTATTGAACAAAATATATGTTGTGCATCATCATTGGTTCTATTCAAATTCATGTTAAGACCATGGAGTCCTCAGCCAGATGTTTTCTTGTTACAATACCCAATATGTCTGTCAGTGGTGACCTAAAAATTACTTTCCGAAAATTTATTCTGGTGTTTGTCTCAAAGGTTTGGTTGTGTGCCTAAATGCAGTGGCAGACCATGGCTTCTTATTTAATGGCAGTTAAACTTCCATCTTCTGATGAATCATGCAGATAAAAAGTAATGAGCTTCAACCTTCTTATCGAAACAACACCTCCAGAGACCTACCAGCCTATGACTGCAGGATCAGAGTGAGTAATTCAATTCCCCTTGCCCTGTTTACAAATGAGGCTTTAGTATGAAAGTTATGTCACAGACTTTGCTCAAATGTACTAATACTGAAGGAGATCTTAATGTCATTATGGGAGTTGACCAATTAATATTACGTAGGTATCTCAGAGGGTTAACGTAATATATTTATCACAAATGGATGATAAGTTTACCACTAGTTGCAGTGCAGTAGACTTTTCTCTACAGTGTTCATATTTATCTTTTTAAGGTATTGTTTAGATAAGTTAATGCTTTAGTAATTCTACAAGGTATTTAGACACAGGAGAAGTAAATGAAATACAATGGGCCATTGCAGTTTAAGTCAATTTGTCTCTGAGTGGTGTTAGTCCAGAAGGACTTAAGATTAAATTTGTTTTGTAAATTAGGATGCAAGCATTTGATGTAGCTTGGGTATTTGTACTTTTTTTATTTTCTCTTTTTTTTGTGTGTGTGAGGTGGATTTGAACAATAACTTGTGGTTGAGTATAAGAGATAAATGTATTTAATGTGATAACTAAAGAATTTTGAATTTCAACTATGGGTTACATAGACTCTTACACTCTGGGTTGAAAATAACCTCCCTCAAAAAGTAAAAAAGAAGTGCAGTTGACAGGAGGTCAACATGTTTCCCTTTCTGTTGCAAATATTACTTTACAGTGAAATAACCTACTGCAGAACTTCGCGTCTTTCAACTGTTTTGTCCCTACCCATGAGCCTGCTGTGTCCGAGTCCTTTCATATAATTTTATTGTTTACTCCACGTGTAATTGTTTAATATTGGTTTTTCATCCCCTGATGTAAAGTATTTTGACTATTTTAAGAGAAAATAGTTATTGTTATAGTAGACTGACAAGTGATGCCCCTTGGTTCTACAAAAATAGACTAAACAAGGCTATGATCTCCTCATGTGACATTTTCAGAGTGAAGAATCCTAAAAATTAATTTAACTGCTCTTTTGTTTAAATGAGCAATTAATGGTTAATGCTCTTTCCTGGGCAAACTGAATGTTTTGCTCCAAAATTTGTGTTTCAGAGCACTATTGTTGACCTAACTGTTGTGATTTATAGTGGCAAATTACTCGTTGAGTGTCTTGGAATTATGCGCAGTAAACCACAACTTGACAATTTTGATTTGCCTTGTGTAATATAAATCCATAGTCACCTGACCCCATTTTGACTTTGTTCCTGGAGCAGTTCTCAAGTTTGAGTTCAAGGCACTCAAATGTGAAAGTGTTGTGTGGTAATGCCTTAACCAAGATCATCAATAGGAAATTCTTTTTGACAAAACAGCTGTTGTAGAAAATTGAGATTTTTGACAGAACTTGTCCATATGTCAGATATGGGAGAGTTCCTTGACTACTGGACAGAGTTCTCCATTGAGATTTTTAATGGCCCATGCATTTTTTTTGTTGCGATGTTGAGAATATTCAGCTGCTGCTTCACTCCATTCTCTTGCATCTACCTTTTGTGATGAAAACCTTGCTTGTTTTGCAACATCTTGTTTATTCAATTCCGTAACAAGATACCTTTAAGTTGACATTGTGGAATGTGAAAGTGATACAGCATCTTTGGTCTTTGTACCTAACACTTTTACTCAAAACCATTCCAATTTTTTTTAATGAAACGTTATTGCAAGTTGCATCCATCAATCAAAGATCCAATCATATTTTCTCATTTTAATTAGCATGTTGTCCTATTTTGATCCTGGGTCTACTGGTTACACTAATCCTTAATTTTCAAGTCATCTTTCACTGTTCATCCCTGGATACTCTAAACCCTTCTTTGTAGGGATCTGTGCTTGAACAAACACACTCGCACATACCTCTAGCAGTGAGATACACTGTATCTTAGACAGCAAAACATGAGCAAATTGATCATGTAGTAAGTTTCAGACAAATATAATTAACGTTTTAATTAATTTTCCTGTTTTCTTTACAGCCCTCAGCCGGCAGAATCTAGCACTGCGCCAAAAATGCCTAGTCTTTCCTCTATCCGGCACATCCCCCATATCTTGGTAAGACCTTTTATATGATTAAATTATTGCTTCAGCAAAATTCCAGACTCCAATTATGTCATAAAGTTTGGTTACCGGTATGTTTGTTTTGTCCCAGGTATTCCAATAATGGCTAGATTGGCAAGTTAATCTTCCAAGGTGGAGATTTTCAGAATTGGCATTCTTGAACTTGTCACCTCTTCAAGAGCCATTTAACATTATTGTGTAAATCAAAGCCTTATGGTCTGGTTACTTTTGTTAAATTAAGTGGGAGAAACTTAAAATGATCATTTCCTTTATAAGATGAGTATGAATCACTGTCTAGTAATGGCAAAAGATTTGCATTTAGGTTGCAGTAGAGAGCTTGAATGGTAAATTCTTAAATTTCATTTGTGTAAGGCATGCCCTAGTATAGAATTCACTTTTCTACTAGCTTTTTCTGTATGGAGGTAGCTTTTTTGGCCTATTTACCGTTCTGAGATTCTGCTAAATCAAATGCTTCCAAGCTCTCAACAATTTTCTTAAAGAATCTCTCATTTTTGGGTGGGTTAATGTATTCTTTGTGGCTATCAATATTGTTGTTCCTCTAAGCAATACTGCTGAACTGTGGACAGGTTCCCTTGACCAGCTCTTTGAAAGTTTTCACATGTGTGGAACTGAATGGTTGATAAGGAAAATAGCCACTCGCAACAAGTTAACGAAAAGAATGACCAGTCAAAGAATGTCTGGTCAAAATGCTCCTTCCAGCTTCAAATGTTTTTGAAAACTTTGTAGTTTTAATCCCCTCTCGTTATTTTCCTTGTTGGAACAACCTTTGCATCACTAAGCCTTAAAGCAACTTTTTCAAAACTTAATTTTTTCTTTCCTTATTGTGATTGGACTTCAAACCTGAACCTTAATTGCCTCCAGTAATTATTATTATTATTCATTTAAATATTTAATTTTTTTTTCAGGATCATAACTATGGGCAGCCTCCTCCCATGACCCCTCCTGATTCAAACAGTCCAGGGCCTGAGGATGGTGATACTGGAAATGAAGATGAGGAGGATGATGGGGTTACACGGTGCATTTGGTGAGAATAGTTACTATCTTACAGAAAATGAGGGCAAATTGATGATTTCATTTGTGGAGTTAAGCCACATGCATCAAACTTTCTGTTACGTGAAACGGTAAACACTTTTTTTATTCAGAAGTAGAGTTTTAGTGGAGTATTGTTGCCACATGTAAGAGTTGTAAGGGTATTCTAGATGGATTGAATAGATGATCAGAAGCCTCAAAAGGTTTCATGTTAAATCATCAGAGCTTATAGAAAGTAAGCCTCAAGAAAAAAAATTTGTAGAGCAGTGAGTAACTTTTGATGTACTGTGTGCAGTGGGGGTCAAAAAATGGAAATTACTGAGATTTTTAAAGGGCCCATTGACGCTGGCAATGTAGGACTTTTATGCAGTTGGAGATTTTCCTAGCTAAATGAGCAGAGTAGTGCAAAAGGAAAATTGCACAGTGTTGATATATTAATAGGTTTTGCTTATTGTGTTTCTCTTCTTTCAGTGAGTTTGATCATGATGATGGTTACATGATTTGCTGTGACAAGTGCAGGTGAGTTTTCATCCGCAACATTTGCTTGGCATAGTCAGTATACTTAGGTTTTGATCTGATGAATTTCACTTGTTCTTACCCTCTCTTATATATTAACATTACACTTTGTGAGACTGGTATACTGTCAAGCTGTATCTAAAAATTATTGCTGTGGTTACTTGCCTTTAACTGTTCCATAGTCAATTTCATTGGCATGTATGATAGTGGCTGTTCGGCTGTGCCACCATCTGATGTGGGAAGGTTTTAAAAATGTCATAGAGATCTGCTTTGAGATGGTCAGATTTTGTAAAAGGTACATCAGTGGTTTTGAGTATCATGTTTTTAATTTGGTGTGCATCTTCTTAAAGAGTGTATTTTGAATCAAGAACTGAGGTCACCAGTGAAGGCATACAGAGTAACTAGTGAAGTTAACTAGCTGTCTGCTCTCATGTAAACAGATTCATGTTGTTTTTTTCCATTTTGTTCTTTTTTAGTGTGTGGCAGCACATTGAATGCATGGGAATAAGTTCAGATGCCGTACCTGAGAACTACCTTTGTGATCAATGTCAACCAAGGTTCGTAGTTGTTTGTACAACCCAACCACCAGCACTAGTCACAGAGAACAAGAAATTGGTTAGGGCTTTCAATGCTTAGAAAAAAATCCATTCTTCCCCTATGAAACAGGAATTTTAATTTTATTGACATTACATTCAATTTTTTTCTTTTTTTAATCTAGGGGGGTTAAATTAGAGGTACATACAATACATGGAAAGTTTTTACTTTTTTCCATGCTGGCCATACAATATATTTTTATCAAGAGTTATAAATTATCCTTACAGATAATTCTATTCGGCCTGAAGGCACAGGGACATGAAAATGCAATGTCTTCTTTTGTTGATTGGACTTTTGTTTTCCTGTCACCTGTCTCTACTCAAAATTATATATTGATATTGTGAAGGAAATAGATATTGGTAGCTCTTTTTAAGGGCAGCTTGTTGAGCAGGCTC